TCATTCATAGCCTGTTGCCATTATACACAATCGTCTGACTCTACTGCCTCCTCGTACGTTCTCAGTACAACTGACGTTACAAAGCAATAATCTATGTTATAAGCTATTTTTTCATCATCGTCCTTGTCCTGCTCTAAGACATAATCGTGAATAAGTTGTGGTTATCCTGGATTTGAGGTTCTACCGATGGTTGTACTGCTGTATTCTCTAGTGCATGTATTCTTCCGAGTTGTGCCTGCCCAGCCTTAGGATCCACTCGTGGAGGGACTACTTCTCTGTCTACATTACCCTTTCGTGGAAAATAAAAAATTTACCTCCACATTTCTACCTGGATAATTAGAGATACTGGACTGGTATAGGTTTGTAAATTTTACATTTCTACTTTTTTCCATTTTACCTTTTTCTGGAAACATATCTATGTACGCTGGACTAATCTAGACGTAGCCTAGAAAGATTCCTTTCCTAAATCCTGCATCCAGCTTCTTTTTGTCGTGAGTGTAAGAAAAGCAAATGGTGCCAAAGATAGCCATGTTAGAAATGTCTGGTTTTGCCTGTAAGTTCATGATATGGTGTTTTCCTAATGCGATTATTGTAACACCTGTTACGAAAAGGTTGAAGTCAAGATTGCATAAGGTCAAAATTTCGTATCTAACTTAGCATTAATAAGTAGACACCTGGCCATTTCGAACAGCGTACGCCAGTTCCTTTCTGCAGTAAAGTTTTGATGTAGAGAGTATGGAGCTAATGTTTCGTACTTGATCTTATTTTTTGTGAGAAGAGATCTAAATGCCTGTCTTATAAATTCTGAACCATTGTCTGACCTAATGCATTTGATCCTCCCATAAGGAGAGGAATCAGCAAGAAATTTTTCTGTAGCACATAATATATCAGACTTATTTTTTAATTGAAAGTGAAAGTTGCCCCCGAGTAATCATCTGTAAATGGCAAAGCGTATTTATAACCCTGATCAGATTCTGGAGTCACTGGTCCAGCATAATCTGTATGGACTAGATCAAGAGGAGATTTAGCCCTGATGTCTGATTTCATGTTGCGAACATTTATCATTTTACCTAATGTGCATACCTCACAGACATTCTCTATTGTTTTCTCGCTAATATGCATGCCATTGACAACACCCTCAAGTTTAACTGTATCCTTTAAGTTACAATGGCCTACAATTTCGTGCCATGTTTTCAGGTTGTGCAACTAGATTTCACTACACATAAATAATAGAGTCTTCCTTACTTGTGAATGTCAAACTTAGTTCCATCCCTACTGCTTAATGTTGCTTCATCTGGAAGGAAGGTTGTTGTTGCACCATTCTTAGATGCTGCCTGAACTGAGAAGATATTTTGCGAGAAGGAAGGTACATGAAGGGCATTCTTTAAAGTTACATTATGCTAGTTACCTAAGTTGTCTTGCAAAACTACTTTAGCATTACCCCTTTTAAAAGCTAGGTTATTATGCCTGGTACCATCAGCTAACTCGATTAAACGAATGTTTGGATCAAAATTGTTCTCAAAACTCACAATGTTCCCTCATCATTTATTATATGTGTGTTAACACCACAATCAAGTAATAAACTTGTCCTCAAGCTTTTTGTATCCTTGCTGTTGCTCAGGTCGTCAGTTACTCGAAAGATACATGCATTCTGGTCTTCTTGCTTTTGAGGTCTCTCGCGTGCGTATTTTGCTCCGTCAGATTGCTGTCCGTGATCTTTCTTTCTACACTCTTTAGTATTATGGGTCCTTGTCTTGCAATGATTACACCACTTCTTTGACTTGGGACACTGATCTGATTTGTGTCCAAATTTCTTGCACGTATAGCATTTGATCTTGGAATTAAATCCCGTTTTCAGCACAATGTCCTTAGATAATGGCATCTCGTTCTCTTCGTATGCCCAAAGTGCGACTTTAAATTCCAAGTACGTTGGTTGCTTGTCTTTTTGCTTTTTGCGTGATTACGGTATTAAAAGCTTTGAATTCCGATGGAAGCACCTTAACAATCCTTGCTATTAGAAAGCATCACTAACTTCTTCTTCTGCATCTCTCATTGCTGCTACGCCGCCTACGCTTGGAGCATGTAGTCAGTCATGCTTTCTGATTCCCTTTTACACAGCGTGGTCAACTCTGTATAAAGCGCGATGATTTTTGGTTTACCACTTGACCTGTAATGTTCTCTTAGGATCTTTATTGCTTTCCCCCCGTTATCCTTGGCATCTCTCATGACTAGAGAAAGTGATCGATCGTCCACTTGGATTGATTCAGCATAAACATCGGCGTTCTTTGCCGCATTGGGTTCGTCGCTTTCGACGGTATCTTTCAACTTTAAAATATGAAGATATCTCTTAAACTTTGTCTCCTAAAGTTATATTTCCTTTCATCTCCATCGAAATGTATTCGTGACCTGGGCCCATAACCTGTTGAGGTCGCTATATGTAAATCGATGGAGGATTGCTTAATATTCTTTCAGTGATGATCAAAAACACCGTTCAGAAAGAGGATATGCTATTAACAAGAAATTTACAATATATCTAATATGCTATATGTACATGAAGTATAGGCTTTTGAAGTCCGCTGGTCATTGAACTGTATTAGTTTACACTTCACAATGAGTAGCAGATTTGTCAATGCACCAAAAGAGACGATTCTCGCAATTTTTGATAGCAGCAATTAATATACTTTGTATATCAACCTCGTGAAGTTGGACTGTTCAAAAAGGCGGCCTTCTGGCTTTAACTTAATTAGTGATGCGCGGTCCATGTAATATACATATCCATGAAAAAGCATCATGCTTGATTCAAAGATGGCGGCGTAGTTATCGTTCCAGTTGTTTATAGAGTTCACTGGTGCAAACACAGTAAACATCTTTTATTTCTTAAATGCAATGGCTATACTGAGGTCGAAAGATCATTTTCGCTGAATCAAATGTATGCTATAGCAGAGTAGCAGTCTTGAACAAGTACGTAACACTATTGCATTTCTATTATATTTCTATTACACGTCAAATTAATGTTAAGAACAATTTCAGTTTTCAAACCAAAATCGCTTAAAACTGATGCATCTTACATGGGCCTATCGAAGTCAAAATTGTTTTTAGTCTGTTTACTGCATCGTTATTGAAGGTATATAATAATGTTCTCAATGACGCACTTGTGTTTAAAGCACCCATTTACCATTCTACCCCAACAATTATTTACAAGTTACATGCATGTCTTTTCGTCTGTGTCATGTACGTGGAACAGATTTAATTCTTTTTGGCGGGGAGTACTGAAGTCGATGAGCTGTTCACTTAACTCCTATATTTTTGAATCTGTAGAGTGTCTCTTTGTAGCTTTTAAGTAATCTATAGTCTTGTAGAAACACAGCACTTGGAGCAAGTTACGAAATCTTCACCATTTATCTGTATATTCTTGGCCAGCGCTTGCAACGTACGTCATAGTAGCCATTTTGGAGGATTTTAGATTTCATCCAACATGGCGTGCATTCCATTGTTCTCTTACTCTCAATACTTATTACGTTACCTACGTATACCATTAATGCAACAATCAAGTATAGAATTATAAAAATAATTATTGTTATCAAGATAATTATTACAAAAATAACAAAGAACTTAACTAATAATCAAAACAACCTGTGGTGCTCATCATAAGCACAGAATAATGACTATAGAGAAGGGTCACTCAATTGTTCAACGTGTCCTTACGTGGCCATTATTCCAACCAGATGATTAGGGTTTGTTACTTGTTTCTAACTATTAAAATTACATGACATTAATACTTAATAATGAATTCGAGAATATTTTTACTTTAGAAGTGACTTCGGATCATTTTGAAGGTTGGTAAAAAGTCACAAATTCTAATCAACTGGCTGGAATAATGGCGGCCACCATGCGCGGTACGACATGCGCAAGGACAAAAACATCAAAGGTTCCGACACGAATGACCCTTTTGTATATTCTTATTATGTGTCGTAAGCAACAAAATCTAGTACAATGTCAACAAGCGCTAAACGATCTATTTGAATTTAGTGCGTAATTTGCTTGATAACAAGTGTCGAGACTAACAGAAAGAAACAGTTAATTTATTTAACTTTTACGTTAGCTAAAACTGCATGCAAATGACATTATAAATTCTGAGTAATAGGGTGCACTGTGCTTGTAATAGTCCATTCCTACATACTAATTTCATTAACAACAAGAAAATGTTAGTTAAGAGAAATTGAATAAATAACAATATGATACAACCATTAATAATGTTGATAATTTTTAGACATCCACGTTAGCAGAGATTCTTTTCCTCACATCATTTATATTACTTATTATATGAGAAAGACACAAAAACAGTGTTAACAAATGCTTGTAGATACATTCTTGCAAAAAAAAAATTCACCTTTTCAAATTTAAATTCTCCCTTGCGTTTGTGCATGCATTATTTGTTTCGTTAGGAAAAGGATTCCTAACTATACCTTTTTTAAATTTATATTAGAACTCACTAATTACGAATTGCTAATAGCACAGAGTTTTTTAGCGCAATATGACATGACATATATTAACCGTCCGGATGGAAGAAAAATGTCTCATATTTCTGATGAACAGATATTCGCAAATGTGCTATATTTGTTCACTAACTCACTCTAATCTTGCTTTGCTAAAGTCTAAGCAAGTTTTTCATCAGCATCAACGGCAAACCTCCATAATTATGAAATTAACAATCTACTTTGACAAACTGGCTCTATAAACACAGAGTGCAACAGATACCAGAAGCAAAGAAGAAAAATCTATCTCTTTATCTGTGAATAACCACTGAAATTAGGCAGCACTTTCTTTTCCAGTTTTTCTCGTAGCTTTTTTGCTATTCACAACTGCAGCTGACTTTGTAGTGCAGCAACAACAAACATATTTTGCAATTTAGGTTAGCAATGCATTATAACATTTTGAAATTTAAATTTTCTTGCTTTTGTGCATGCATGGTTTCTCTCGTTCGGAAGAAGATTCGAAAATACCTTTCGACAAATTTGTATTAGAACTCACTAATTTTGAATTGCAAAAAAACACAGTGTTTTTTAGTGCAAGAAGACGTGACCCATTTGAACATGGCCAAAACAAAAGTCTTAACAAGAAGAACGCAAAACTAGACCTTTTCAGATGCCTACAAAAAATATCTGCTCCTACTCTATTAGTACTTTTTATCAAGCCAAAGAAAAGTGCCTAAAGTTAAAGTGCCAGATATTTGTACAAATGTAAAAGTTGCAAAAGTTCATCCGAAAAAAACGAGGTTTTTGCATGGAATCTAAATAACTTTAACGAACTGAGCATAAATTTAAAAGGTTTTATTTTTTGATATGATTTCCTCCTACTCTTCAATTTTTTGAATGTGCAATGCTTGAAATAAATTCAAAATCACCATTGTCCATTTACTTCTTTTCAGCTTTTTTCAATGACACACCAGACCATGCGGGCTTTTTTGCACCTGCAGGTTCTATTTCTTTCTTTGCCCTTGGATCAATGACTGCTTTATGAAGCTTGTTTTGATTCTGCCATGATGCTTTTCATGTTTCTTTTTCTCAGGATCATCACGTTTCATCACCGTTGTTCCAATTATGTTGTCACTCTTGCGTAGATTGTTAACCCACATTGGTTGGCTCTAAAAGATATCATAGTTAAAATATTTTATATATTTTGAAGGAATGTTGTAACTTATTAAATTCCAGTAAACAACAACATGCTGTGGCGATTTTCACAAATATGTTTCAACGAAACAAAAATGAATATTTGACCATTTAACTGTGCCACATGTTTAGTGTTTTTTTCTCGTTTTATATTCCTTTTCATTCCAAGTCACATAAATATAAAGTTTGTACTCCGAATTCTATAATTGATAAATTTATATTAATTCACAATCTGTTTAGCAAGGAGTAGCTTTCGTACCAAAGTATGTAACAATCAACATGAAGTAATTATAAATATTAAAATCTTAATTCAATCCAATGATAAATATCGCATAAAAACAAGCAGCAATTAATAGGCATAAATAAGCAAGAATAAGCATAGATGATAAACATAATGTACATAATGATAATCATAAAACATGTGTCAAAAAAATTTTAAAATATGCATTTTGTCGAATCTCATAAAAATGAATTTGGGCTGAAAACTTTATTCATTGTGTGTGTTTACTTAAAATGAAACCCATTTGTCTTTTATTGTCTTTGAGTTAGGTTTTTTACGATAAAATTTGATACTTCTGATAATGAATGAAATTGAAGATTCCACTTATACTTTATGGAAACCTACTGAAATGTTTCAACCAATCGCATTGCTTTGCTTAAACTTTTGATAACTCTTGACTTTTTCTGTTGCCATTGAAGAAATCTAATGAATATTGATCTGAAGAGATTAGGACAAGAAACCTCCTTGATTCATCAACTACTTACTGGTGCAGTTCCACGTTGCTTTGCTTTAAATGCCTCGAATTTATCCTCCCAAAGAGATGATTGGGCTTTCTTAACAATGTCAAAGAAGCCAGCACCTTTTCCAGCACCACCAGTCCTTCCTCGTTTTGGAGCTGCGGGAACAACAGCACCATTCTTGATTGCTTCATTGTACTCTGCCTCTGCAGAAGCAAACTCTTGACGAAGACGATTAACCTTTAAGAAATGGTTTGATTATAATTTTGGGTATTCTTATAAAGCGTTACAAATTCATGTATATATGGTCACTCCATGCAGGTTTATGAAAAAAATGAAACTATTGTCTTGGTTACATAATCAACAAGTGCAAGTTGATTAGAAATAGTTTCAAGTGTACAATATAATACAAGAGTCCAACTGGTTTGTATTAATTCTATCAAGCTAATGATGTAATGTCATCAATAAAAAAATATGGGATTATTGTATTTTTCATCCCTCTCTGCTATAATTTCAATTATAACAATCCACTTCTTTGAAATTTCTGACATATCAAACTTATTCATTGTAAAATGAACATTTGCTAATTTAGGGTTCAGTCCCTTCGACTAGAATCCATGCGCATCATTCCACTTAAATTCTTATATGGCCGAAAGAGCAAGGCGTATTTGTAAAGCGCCACACCATCTTTTTTACAAATCCAGTGCTATTTTTTGTCTACAGTACGCCGATTTAATGATTGATGTTTTGCTTTATAAAATATATTGAATACCAGTGGAGTTTTATACAATATATACCACATTTGTGTAGTATTGCCATTTGCAACACGCTTGTCTGTCGCTTAGTTTTTGAAGACAACAAATAACAAACCTACATTAACCAAACAATGAATCAACGGAATAAACGAAGACTGATAGAAAAAGAAGCACATGTAAAAAATATTCGTAACTAAAATATTTTGATATAACCTTACTGATTGCGCTTTGCTTTCAACTTGTCATTATTCGTCGTTTTTTGCCTAGGTTACTTCTATAGTAATACTGGATATCAATAGTTAATTGAAAATACATTCAGGTTAATTGAATTGCATTTAGACGGACCTAAAATGGCTCAAATCACATCGAATTTGGCATTAAAATATAGGTTTCTTTCTCGAAAATTTGAATTTAGCACAAACTCGTGAGCTGAACATGCGCATACGAAACTTCCGGCCGATTCCCCACCCATTAACCCTGCACATTGTATAATTTTCAAATAAAAGTGTCGCCGCTATCACATTATAAGTCAAAAACGACGGACGTTAATCATGTCTGTTCTCTATCAGCAATCACTCAAAATAAAGCTTACATTATGTATTTTCATATATCATTCTTATGTTATTGGCAATTTGTTTGAATAAAGAGCAAAAGTAAAAAAACTGCAAAATAAACCCATATTTTGCATCAAATTAAGTGAAATAGGAGCATGAAATATGAGTAATAGGCATTTGTATTAGATAAGTTTGATGTGTAAAGCAAGTTATGTTATAAAGCAGCTGTAAATTGCAAAGTAGCTGCTTATCAGATAAGTAGAAATTTAACTCACCTGTAACTTTGTGTCTTATACTTTCACAAACAATGTCATACCACTGAATGTATTCAAATGTAAAAGTAGTGGCCATAATTTATGTCACTTGACTCTGGTCAGCTATTGGTGGATCACTATCATTTTCTTAAGCACATGTATCAAGCAAATAGTTTATCTTAGTCACTAATGAGCATCCTTCTTGCTTAGTCGGCTAGTATCTTTCTTTGTAAATATAGGTATTTTTGCAGATCATGTGCAGAACATATTGAGTAAGATAGACGAAAGTGCAAAATCTTTGCTGATAACAAATATTATTTTAATTGTGAAAATTAATATCATGCATTATGCATTACTTACTAATTTGATCGTGTAAAATATAGATGATCTCAACTAATCAAACTTTTAGCAGCGTTTGCAAGTTGAAATGATACATAAATATTTTTAACACGGTAACGGACAATCATAATGAATAGTTTCAATCTTTTAATGGGTTGTGTATGTTGGATTAGGTTATACTCTGTATATTTTTTACTGGACAAGTTTCTTTGGAGATGTCCCGAGAATGTTCATTATAGGGAGGTGGTGGTGTTTATATTTATACATTCAGCTGTGCCCAAGTGATTTATTATGAAAGTAAATTACTAAGGTGGCCAGTTATGGAGTTTTCTTTGTCTCTGTTGGTGTTAGCGAGTACCATTTTTATAATTGTAAATTTAATAAATGTAAATACTTTGTAAAATTTTATTGTATTTTAGATATTAGATATTATTTATTATAACTAATTTAGATATTTGTAATTCAGCCGCAAGGCTGCAATTAATATTTTAAAAAACTACCTACCTACCTACCTACCTTTATATGAATTAGTTAATTTTAAAAGAAAAAAAACACTCCGACACAACAGAATGTATGAATGAAACACTCTGCAATCAACGTTGTAGGGACAGCCCTGACCCTTTTTTCAATGGATACGTATCAATTAGGCATATTTCTTGTAATAAAGAAAAGTCCAGTTAAATCACTTTTACCTCTTGATGGTTGGCTTCAATCTTTGCTTTTAAATCTTTTTCTTGCTTCGCAAGAGTTTCAGTACAATTTTCTGCGTTGCGTAAACGAGTGCGCAGTGAGCGTACTTTTAAATCAAGAGACGCCATATCTGTACTAGATGCACCAGATGTTGCACTTTTATTGTCAGGCTTGTTCTTGGCATCTCGTTCTTCAGCAAGCTCATACAGACGATCAATCAAAGAATCAATGATTCGACCTTTTCCACAATAAGTATAAAAACACATTTGTCATCACAAATTTTAGAGAATCTTGTAATAATAGCTGAAGTTCCATTTACGACATTCATTTATACTGACAAGATTTAGCTTTTTCCTGAACTCTATTTGACTTGAAATCATATACAGGATATACTCTCTCAAAGAATAGTATAGAGTTGCCACTAAATACGTGTTAACATTGAATTAAAATTGAATTAAATTAAATTTGATTTAAATTTAGCTACTACACATGCTTTAAGCAATAAGTTCGTTCTTTTTTTAATAGAAATGTAAGCAATTGCATAAAACGACGATTTAGAAAAACTATTACAACTGTTTTCTTCAAGAATAATCGGCAAAACAAGACAAATTCGACACTCGTAAGCCAAGCTAAATGTCTGCTGCTGTTTTATGCCTGTTTTCGGCAGAAAAAGTACACAAGCAGGAATTAATCACTATGGACGCTACCTTATAGACAACAACCAAACATTAAAAGTAACAAACTTTGGCGATAGTACAATTACATTAAAATATTTCGATGGTGGACTTGAGACTTCTATACAACAATCATAGGCTAGGGCAAAAAGCTGCCAAGTCTGTAATGCATGATTCATTGATGCAGTAAGTACTTACGTTTGCGGTCATCATTAATCTTATGAAAGGCAGTTTTAGGACCATCGGTAGAAATCTTCTAAAAAACAATCCAGTCTTAATTACATGATGTAATGATTTAAACATTAATCAAATTTCACATTTTATAGTTTTCTTGTGCAAATCAGTATATTTTGGAAGTAATAGTACAGTAGGTACTATAAAGGGAGCTTCCAGTAAAACAATAAAATCTATATTCTATTTTTGTTTAATTTGCAGTTTTAATAAATGATGTGAAATATTTATATACAAAGAAAAAAGCGCATCACGTCATAACCATTGACAGTCGTTACTCTGTAATAGCTATTGATATTCTTAGCAATTTAACGTCAGTCAATTTTTTTAATATTGAAATATTTTGCAAGGTTGTGGGTAAACAGTGTTTTAACAATTGATAAAAAAGCGAATGAATTGAGGGAAGCTTGAAAACATCACTTTTAAAATTACATGGTTACAATTCAAAGTAAAAAGGCTTGTGTTGGAAAAAAGCCGGCGTACAGTTTTGTAAAAAATTAAAAATCTGGACCAAAGTAAATAAAGCTTGTGCATTTGTTTTACCTTCGCTGGAGAAATTTGAACATTTACTTTCTCTTTTACTTCCTCCTCCTCTTCTTCTTCTTCCTCTTCCTCTTCCTCTGCCTGGAAAAACAGATATTGTATTATATTTTCGTATGTTCAACGAACTTTTTTAAATAAAGGCAAAGCTATACTTTTAGCTTCTTAAAATCAAATATTAAGAAAATGACATTTCAATATGGCTGAGTTCATTTCATGTTTTTTTAGTTTGTATAAATTTCACAGCATTGTCGTGAAATGATCTTTTTCCTCAAAACAAGCCATTTGTCAAACATGCCATTGATTCATATTCTTTTGGCAAATAAACGCGTTACAATCTGGCTTCAAAAGTATTCAGCTTATAATACACCCTTTCTCTCCAAGCGTGGCCAACATCAAAGAAGCCATCCAAAACTTGTAATTAAAAAAAACTTTGGAAATAAAGGGTAAATTACTTTTTGCATAAGTTTTATAAACATTTTTTGCGTTGAAAATAATGTTGAGATTTTGGTAATGAAAAATTCAGAATAAACAACATTCACTTTTTAACTTTAAATTCCACAGCTTCTCTTATTAAGAGAAAAACAGTGGAATGGTGATATCGTAAAGTCATGAACAACATCAACTTTGTTAAATTTTGAGAAATACATGTCTTTTTTCGCATCTTACTTCTTGTGCTTGTTTTTCTGCCTCTTTTCGTTTCCTTTCCTCAGCTTCTCGTTCCTTTCTTTTTCGCTCTTCCTCCTCTTTCATTTTTTTCATCTCTTCTTCTTGCCTGGATAATCGTTAAATGAATATTTTAGGATACTCTTTTTTCAATTTTCAGTTACCGCGCATTTCCTATTCAAATATAAAAGCACGTGACTTCAGAAGAAAAGCTTTCATTAGTCTTATTACAAATTTGTTGGATTGTAGTTCATAGTACACACTAAATGACTTTATAACCTTCTTAGAATAATTTAGTTAATGTACTTTTTTTAAAAGATAATTAACTTTTCGCTTTACGCAGATGAATTGTTATGACATCACCAACAAGATTTTAGCTAAAGATCATCAATTTTTTACATCGTTGAAAGATTTTAGCACAAATAGAACTGCTTGATGAATACATGTGAAGAAGAAATTTTGTAAAGGCGCCAAAGTTTGATCTTTTAATGCTGACTGATGACCAAAAGTATTATTTCCCAAAGCTAATTACACGATGCGCAAAAAAATTAAAAAAGAAAAGTTACATATTTAATCACAATTCTATTGAAGTCCTTTTAAAGTATCTTTACAATTCCACCATAAAGAAAAACAATGGTAAAGTTTGGTCTCATGAACACTTTAAATGCTATACTGGTTAACAATAGCGTAATGTTTGATAAATTACAGGTAAAGGTAACGAGGACTATTTGAGTGAAAGAAATTTGTTGAATGACAATAGAAATCACTGAAAGCTGTTCATTATTTCTTCAGCATCAACAAAATCTGTCGATAGCATACATAATAAATGCACTGATATAATTATGACTTTTAAAGACAATAATGAAAAATAAATGAAACGAAAGACAATATTAGAATATAACTATAGCTAGCAAAATAGCTTTAGGCAAAATCAATGTAAGAAAAACATTTTGGTTGCTCTTAGTTGTACTGTTATTAGAAAGTTTGCGTAGATTGTCAATCCCATAACCTTGCATAGCTTTGCTAAAAATGACACTCTCCTTCTAAAGATACGATCACACGACGCGATTTGTCGGATACAATTGTCAGACAGTCTAATAATTTCGTTGATATATATTTATATTCGTTTAGATATTTATACTCGTGGGAGCAGACATCTATGTTATCGAGTGTATTTATCGATATATTTTGCGTGTTTTTTCTGTATCTAAGTCTTTTCACATCTAATATTTTGCGCCAAATGACATTCGGAAAGAATTAAGAGTGAGAAGTCCTGCACTAGTCGGCTTTCTTTGATTTTGTCAGATGAAAATATAACAAGTTCTATTTCCATCCGATTTTTCAGACTGACGGATCAGACTGTTGGAAGCTCACTTTATATGAGCTTGCACGATTGTGTTTTTTTTTGGATCCGACAAATCAGATTGTGCGAACTGACCTTAAGCAGGCACAGCACCAAAAGATGGCTGGGGGTAGGAGGGGGTCAGCCTCCACTTTTTCACCAAGATAAAGTTTCCGCTAAGATTCATACATTTTGTCCTAGCTTGAGGCAAAATAACAAGTAGTAAATTTAGTAAATATAAGTCGTAGCACCCTCCCTCCCATATTTAATTTTGTGGCACCCTCCTTGCTAAGGATACATTTATTTTCTATCCGAATTTAACTTAACCCATACCTTCGAGATCTTGCAGAGCTTGAATCTTCTCCTATAAAATACGAAAATGGTCAAATTGTATAAAACAAGCAAAATGGGCATGGTTTTGTTCAAAATCTTGAAACCCAAATTTATACAGATGCAGAATTTGCGGCTTTATTTCAGAAAACAAATTTACGATAAACTCAGGGAGTCTACAGTCTCTACAAAATGATTCAAACCTCAAATTTTTTATGAGAGCTAAGTTGTCTATCTTCCTATATGCGGCATCAATGCACCAAGTTAATTGCAAGGACCATATTCGTATATTCTTCAATACCTAGCTAACTTCTTTAAAAAGCCATTTCACTTTCAAAAGAAGTTAGCGTGGCATAGCGCAATATACATGAAGTAACGGTAGCAGATAAACCCTTTATAAGGGATTTTCGAGATGAACAAGAAATGTCAGTTGATGAAATAACTTTTTAGATAAGATGAAACATACTCAGATTAAGAAATTCATGTTTACTCAATATTTGAGGAGAAAACAAGACAACTTTTTATTTTAATAATAATATTTCAAATTTATTACAAATTCGTCATCAGGTATAGAAATATGGTCATAGGCGAAGCCAGCACGATCCTTTACCTCTACATTGCAAATTTTTCAGCAAAAATATCATTCAACTCTTTAGAAAATTAAATCAATTCATAGTTTTTCAAGGGATTAAACACAAAAATATATTAGCATTGCAGGAGTAAAAAACAGGCTGACTTCCCTACTGGAAATAGCATAGAAATGAGTTGTAAACAATAGAAATACTACAACGTATTTGAAAATCCCAGCTGGAAAAATCTGCCAGTGATGACGCTTTAAAAAACCGCTAACAATAAGGCAGAATAAGACCCCGTTTACACGAGCCCGGGTTGATATTTAATCCTGGTTAGACTGCGATACGTGGTTATGTTAACACGAATCCCGGGTTAGAACTGATTTCGCAACCCGGGTCAGCAATTCTTAGCCCGGGCGGGCTCGAAAATAAGCTAAAGACAAGCCAACCCGGGGTTACATGTAGAAATGAGCTAAATTTAAAGCTCTAACACCTTGCTAACCAGGGTCGACTCCTTGCTAACCTGGCACACCAACCCGAGCTGGATGTCAACCTGGGCTAGTGAAAACGCGGCCTTAGATCAAAAAGAAAGTTGCAAAAAAATTACGACAAACATCGAAAAGCTTTGCAGTGGATTGTAAAACTACTAGTTCTTCGAACACAAACCAATTTAGTATAATGAACTTGCCAGATTCTCTTTTTCTTCGTCTCTCTTCTCTCTGTCGCTGCCTTTCAGCTTCAGCGTCGTTATTTTCCATATCACGTTGCTTTCGCCGCTCTTCACGCTCAAGCCTGCGCTTTTCACGTTGTTTGGCTAAATCATCCTGAAGCATTTCAAAAAAAATTTCAAAAGAGGTTTCTTGGAAAGATTTGTTGACTGTGCTTATGACATCAGATGAGCGTATGGTTACACCATCGCTTTTCTGATAATTACCATTATACAGGAAAATACTAGTAAGTGCAATGTCGTCCGTAATTATAATTTACATTAAATCAGTGGATTGTACAGTGAAGGAGTTTTGTATAAGAATAACAGATGTTACGTGTTTGTCGGTAAAACTACAGATCCATACCTACTATCGCAGCTAGAAAATTGAAGTTACGCGTGTGCTTATATCGGCTTTCTTTGAAAGAATTGTAACTACACCTTAACAGTTTGGAGGAATTCATAACCAAGTGAATGAAATGCAAAGATTAATTTTGTCAAGTGTCGACGGAGTGGGAGGAAATTTTATCAGAAAAATTTAATGCTTTTATTAGATGCATGATAAGTGATTCTGATTACATATTCATCAATCAGAGGCATTTTAAATGAGCATGTATAAGCCGGGGAAATGGAATTGAATTTTCCAAATGTTTCACAAATGGACACTTCTTCGGTTCTTCCATATCATGTACTTATTTAATTTAGAGTGAACTCTTATTGAATAACTACTCTAACCACAGGTTTTCCTGAGTTAACAGTAATAGTATGCAAGTACTTAACAGGCTAATTTGGCTTTTGGTTGGTAAGTGTTTATACATTATATGCAGGGGTAATCAAAACTCTCAAATTTCAAGAAAATTATATACTGACTATTCACCTGTTGAGCATTAACAACCTACCAAGAAAGCTACCGAACATTCTTTAACAATACAATATAATACAAACCGTTTTTTTCATCTATTTTTGTCAAAAATGTATTGCTCAAATCCCTAATTTAATAATAAAAAAAGTGTGCCCCTATTAGCAACAGTGGCTAGTTCGGCTGACATGTCTGGCGAGAGCGAGTGTGTACAACTATAAATGACATAAAAATGTTTAACAAGGGCATTAGAACGTTTCTTTTATGACAGATTTTTATGGTTCTAACATACTGTTAGATATTAAGCCACACATTTATGTGCTCATGGGCTTGTAATGAATACATGTTAAACGCTTATGACATTTATGACATTTACTTACATCGTCATCTCCGCCTCGTCTAGCTCTTCGGTCTAAAACAGAAAAATCGTATGTTAACATAAAATTGATGCTATCAACATGACAGGATAGTATACATACCACTCATCTTTCAAATTTGCAGGTTTAAAATGTTAGGAAAGTGCAGAATATTATATTTTAGCAATTTAATGAATGTAGATGATGAAGCAACCACCAGTTCAGACCACAATCTCGTCGAAAGAGACCAGCAAATGTTTAATCTTTTAACTCGAGCACCTCCAAGCGCATTTGCCTTTAAACTTATTTCTTCATATTCTACTTTAATTGCTTATTAAGCACCGCCTACCGAGAAATAATATCTTCATCGTCTCTGTTGAAATGTACAACAAGATCAATTATCTTCATGCAAAGAAAAGAAAGAAAGCATGGAATTTAACGCTGTATATGACGACAACAGTTCTTTATTTTGTGTTATTTAAATGTTATATTGGTAAAATTGTGGACATACAAGAGAAATGCATTTTATTTAGGTGTCAAACATTGTTTATTTCCAGACAATGCGTATTCATAAAGCTATTCACTGATTGGCTCATCTACACAACAATTACAAAAGCATATTGATACAGTTTATCGCTCTCGAACTTAAATTAGACTCTGTGAAGACCCAATTCCTGTAAGAAGTTCTTACTTAGGAAAATTGTTATAAAGTTTGAACGTATTCCGTACTTGGCTTTCTAGTTTATAGCCACAACTTTTAAAAATCCAGTCGCCTTATTCTCGGACCATATACGAATGGCAATCAATCACATATAATACCTAGCAACTACAAGCTGTATTAATGACTGTTTGTCAACAACTTAGTAGCAAGGATGGTTAAACGATTGATAACAAGAAACGTGATTAATTAGTCAAGCGTTAAAATTTAGCCATAGTTGTATAAAGCTACATAATATTTGAAAGTCCCGTGCCCCTGCTGCGTATATATAGTCCTATATATGCTGCTGCGTATATATAGTCCTATATTACTTTAAATATTAAGTGGCTGATTTTATTCTCATCAGCAATAAAATAATTTTATAGGAATAATTTTATAGGCAATTGCATTGCCTACATAAAATAAATTTGCATTTGAATGATTGCTTTCTTTTGGTACGTTGTATACAAAGAAGATTCCAGAGTCATGGTAAAAAAGTCTGTTGTGTTTCGTATGTCTTACTTAAGCTAGAATACAAATTGCTCTAGTGGAAAAAGTGATACCTGAGAAATAAAGAAAGGAAAAAATCTAAATGAGGAAATATTTATGATAAAATAATCGGCAATGAGCTGCTAATTTGTACGTTTCATTTGTATCGCGTTAGCAGACACTGACGTCGACAGGCACGAGGCAAAGTTGTTTTTGCTTAGGATAGGAAGGATCACAATAAACCAAAAAATGTTCCTCGCATATTATACATATTTATGTTTTCACATTGTAACAATAAATTACATACAGAATAAATTTTCCCAAGTACGTTATTTTTTTGCTTAGACATTCAACTCAAGCAAAATGTCATCAACCATCGTTTCATTGGGTTGGATTATATACTAATATGACTTGTCAAGTCATTATTATGATGATGAAAGTATGACAAAAATTATTCAGTTAAACGCAATGCACTAAAAAATGGATGTGAAAAATGATAGCTATAGAGTTCACGTTACTTTCAAGTTTTAGCAAATGAACTCTCATTTCAATAATACATACTGTAAATAAAGGCGCTAAATATTACTTCCTTTTCATGTGGAATTCGATATTTTAAAAATAGTTTAAAAGCAAGCTCGTACATGCGTTGGAACCCGGCCGCCAACTCTCCGCTTTAAAAATTTCCATCGTTAAAATTTCCCCTTATTGCTGTAGCGTGGCAAGCTTTCACCATTTGCTATAACTTGAATATGAATTTTTAAGACAAAAATGACTTAAGTCTGCTCAACAATGTTTGTTTATCTTGGCAGGGGGGAGTTTAACTATACAGATATAATGAAATAAAAATCCGGAAAAGGTTTGCGGTGATTTGTTTTAATAGTTAAACACCGTATTTGTCTGCAGTCGTTAGCTATTCATCGCTATACAGTGACTTCTGTAATGCGGGCGTCTTCTGCTTTTCAGAAAAACGAAAACGGTTTCTGGAACACGAACACGACAAGAAAATATTCTCAAATAATAGTTTATCAAATCCCCTAAATGTTGACCGCAATTGTGCAAGCATGTGAAAACGAAATGTATGCATAGCAATAATTTTACTATAAACGCAGGTGATTCATCCGAAAACTGGTTTTTACGAGTTTAATACTTTGTATTTTGCCAAAATCGGATTAATTATATATTTTGTTTACTATCTTGCTGTTAAATTGGCTAACAGATGCAGAGTAGAAAAATCTAGAAAACCACGCAGGAGATAATTAGGTCGTATTTATATTGTCATAGTTACACATTTTCTTACAAAACGAAAAGTTGCTTCCAGTTCGTCAATTCAATCACATCTTTATTGTTTTGATTTACAGATTGAAATATTTTCTTTCAACCAATCTTCGAGGGTGAGAAAGACCTTTGCTTGAAGAAAATATGAGCCTTAGGAGAAAATAAAGTTGCACTCTGTTAGTATTATAATGCATTATTAGATTTTTTGAAATAGCCACAAATATAAACATGAAAAAATTCGTTTTTATACATAATAAAGAACGAACGGAACAATGCCTTCATAAACATTTAGACTTTTGTTTATCTGTTATTTTGCAATATAAAATAATGCGTACATTGTGTTTGCATTGCGCCTGTGGAAACCAGATCTGAGCTTACACAGTCAAACCATTCAATCGATCAAAGAGAATTTGCAAATCAATCATGAATACATTTCAGGGGGGAAATTAAAACGCTTGTTTTGAATTTCTCAGTTTCGCATTATTATTATTTCATACAGAAATAAAAGATGTTTTTCGTGTTTGCACTGGCTTATGTAAACATGGGAGACGTTTTTGAGAAATCTTGAGTAGGTGCATTCCTCCACTTTGGTCTCAGGCTTGGACTGATCAGCACTTGAACTCTCCCAAACGTCTCATCGGTTTGCATACGCCTGTGCAATCCCAGTAAACATCTTTTATTTCTTAAGAAATCCACACTTTATTGCATGGTGCGTTAGTAGTGTGCGTTTCACTCATTTATTTCATTTGAAACTAAAAGACCTTCTAATAATATTAACTAATTTTGCACTTCTATTACAAAATTACAAAATAGTATAATATAAATGCCAAACTCGATGTTGTTTACGCTCAAAGAGGTTTATAATTACTAATTAAATTTTTCAAAAATAATGGATTGATTTCCTGTAGTTTTTTTACCATTTAACAGCATGCTTAATTGTATTAGTTCAATTTCAAAACATTTTTTTACACTAATTAATTCCAATGTTAAAATAACACCTCTTTGCTTGTGGATCTTTGGTGGCGTGTGTCTTTATGGTTAGGAATTTGGAACTCATATTGCACTGAAACAATATTACAGTGTATCTCACATGAACTGCACATCTTTCAAATAAGCCGACTTTTACAACTTGCATGATTAAGTACTATTGATCCTCAAAGACCTGTTAACCAAATTCAAAACAATATGTATAAATTGTGCCTACTGTTTATTAAATATTTCCAGTATGAAATTCATTTCAACAGCATTTAATCATCCTTGGGAACTAATTATTCCTTCACGAATCATGGAATTTCTAAATGTCGGTTGATTTCAATGATGAGCAGTTTATTTGAGACACGTGGCCTGTAGTAAAATTAAACCAAAGTATATTTATTAGTATGGCAACATTTTCATCTGCTATGTATGAAGACAACATCTCTCATCAAAGCTAAGATACAGTTTACAACATATAGCATCGCATTTCGTAGCACGTTAAATGTGAAAGATGTGTTGTTAAAATTGATGTAATTAAGACACAAAAAGGGAGGAAATGGTCAAGTGTGTTAAATGAACATTAAATTTTACTGTTGTTGAACATTTGTGCGTTTTAATATCGGAACTTTGTGTTATACTGGGATTCGACTCTTCTACTTGCAAGCTTTACAGTCTTCGCTGAGCCTCGAATTATATGAAGTAAAATTTGTTGTGTTTCTATAATAGCTGACAAATCTTGCGACTCAAATTTTACACTTAATCAGTATGATGTGTTACAATGAATCATGTTCAAAGGCTATTTTCACATTTATTTCAATTGGAACGCGTTTGTTTGTGCATTTACAATAAAGATCAAAACTACAAATTATTAGGTGGGCGTTATAATACACTGATGACACATTCGACTGGAAACTGAAATTGTCAACACGTCATATCTGAAACTTGACCCAAAGTTTAAGAAATAGACGACACTATTTATATATGTGATATTCATCATATTTTCCAACAAAATTTTCACAAGTCTACATGTTGGTACCTTACATCAAAGTATAGATAATAATCGGAGCATTAAATCAACATAAATTCTCTTCATTGCATGAGGTTTTCCACCAACATGGCGACCGATGAAAACACCATGTAGCTTAATGGCGGAAGTTCGTCATCATATGTTTTCATTGTCGAATCACGTGACAAAGTATTTAAATTGTAAAAGGTAAACGGAGAGTTTAGTCAACATAGGTAGAGTCTTCACTGAAGAAGTTATTTTATGTTACCGTAAGCAGTGATGTAAGTACTTTTTTCAATTGTGACGTTAATATCATTTGTAAATTTATCATTTCATGTTAATTTTTTGTTAAAACAATTACAGATCTATTAAAAAGTTATAAAAATTAGTTTTGTTCGATCTAGTGTTTCTTTTTGACAATTCCAATATTTTTGAAGAAACAAATGATTGAGCTTAAGCTTATGGTTCTTCTCTTTCAGTCAGATATTAATGTGGAACAGTTTTCTTCTCTGCGTTTATCCAGCGTTTTAAGTTTGCTCTTTATTATCAATACCTGTACATAAATCAATCCTGGGAATATTACGCGAAATACACGTTTTTACATCCTTTAAAGTTGCATCTCAAGTTTATATTATCTAATACATAGCAACTTTAAATGAAATCTCATACAAAGCAAACTCCAAAAAGCATTTCTTTAATGTTTAATAAGTTTTGAATAATTAAAATCAATTATATTGACGACTCACTGTCTGTCTGTATTTCGGCATTATTTCAAGCTGGTTAGCACTATTTTCCACCCAGCAAACCGCCCTTTACTTTACACAATCGTTAATAAATTAAAGATGGTGGCTAATGGGAAAGAACCAAAAGCTAAAAGGAAACCATGCATGCACTGGTGCTAGGTCGTTTTGAGATGGCGAGTAATTTTATATTTTTAATAATACATATGAAAATATTTACAGATAAATGTTGCAGTATAAATTTTCATGCAACCACCTTAAGTTATAAACTTATAATCCAGGCTGGAAAATATGTCGTTTTTCGACGATTGTGTAAAATATTATATAAAATATTATATTGTGTAAAATATTAGATTGTGTAAAATATTATATTGTGTAAAATATTATATTTCAAATAAAGGGCGGTTTGCTGGGTGGAAAATAGTGCTAACCTTTCAAGCTACTCTTCAAATCAATTGGGGCCTGTTCATTTGAGCGTGTCAGCCTGCTGAAGCCGCGCTAGCTAATATTGCCAAAATCTAGCAATTCTCGAAAGGCAATCACAAATATTATTGCTATTTCGGCAATAGTTTTCTGGGTTCAAACTCTTACAGTCTTCTTTAATATGTTTTAAATGTAAATGTACCAAGAATCAGGAAGAGTATATATAATCGGTACAAAACCTTAAACTCACTTTATTTATTTAACCTTTTCGTTCCAATTCATTTCCATTAAAATCTGTAGTATTTCTAAATACTGAAACAGAAAACGTCACTGTTGTTTACACGTGCTAAACCTTTCAATATAATGGGAGAATAACTTCAATGATCTTTGAGCATAGAAATTTTATGTCAGTGAAGCCAGTAAGTTGTTAATAAATCTAAGTTTATTTGCTTATTTGGCAATTTTCCTATCGGTCAAGCGATATTAGCCTCCTATACAGACTATTTTTAACATGAGACTCTTAAAATTGAGTTAATTAATCCCAGCATTGATGAACAATTTGAAATAAATACTAAAAAACAGAAACTGAATACAGGAATCTCACACAGTGTGTTTACGTAATATGTAATAGTATCATTTAATAGGATTAGTATTGACCTCACAGAAATAAGGTATGGTTTAGCAAGTGGGGCGAAAATTATTGTTGTTGTTTGAGATAGTGTTGTTATTGTATGATGGCTAAAATTAAACGTACTGCATCGTGTGCATGATAAGTGTGTTGTATCCGTTTCCTGTTTTATTGTTTGGTTGTATTCCACAACATCAGAGTCCCATCAAACTTCGGCATGGTGGAAAATACGGAGTACGGGTGCGTAGTCTCCCTTTACGCAAAGATTTAGATATAGGCCTTATTCTTTGCTACCGACATACGCTTTGAAAAGCAATTCCGCCGCTGCAATCGGTCGGGCACTAACTTTAATTTCATGAATATTTACATTTTCATATGCTAAATAAGAATGTACTTGTTGTGAAATGCATAAACCTGCAGTTTATGAGCATTTTGCCATCAAACAACAATAATTTTTGCTGTAATGAAACTTTATCGCAGCCGTTGTTTCTGAGGATACTTCATTTAATTTACAGTGATATTAATAGTCAAGTTATCTATCTGGCTTAGTTTTGCTCGGACGTCAACAATTTATGCATAGTTGGTAACTTTTATTCAATGTTTTTTTGTGGGAAATGAGATAAATTACAGTTAACTGAGTGAAAAGTGCGAAGTTCGTGTGATTCGAGGAAAGGGAACATTTTTAATGAAAATCCGCATTTTCCACTTTATTGGGGCATAAAGTGGAAAATGTGGGGTCTGTGTTAGATGTATCTATCTTGTCATCAGGAGACACTTTGCACTCTGACACCGCATTTTTTACCATGACTGAAATATCTGTTTCGTTTCTCCTGTACTACGCGTTGTTTGGCTATCATTCAAATGTGTGACGTTGAACATTGAAAGGGTAGTGATCCGGTAATTGAAAAGAAGTTTGTATGTTAAAGGGGGAATGAACGAGTAGTATGTGGGGATGGTTCAGAGAATAAACGGGAAAAGACAGTGATGATGGATTGACTGTGGAAAAGAAAAACAGATGTGTCTGAATGTTTACCATTTTCTTATTTCACTCCAGTGCGGTTGTTTTCAAAATATCATATGTTGTTCAGTTTGATAATTTCCGTACAATGCACTAAGCAAGACATACTTCTAGAAAGGAAGCCATTAGTTTAATGGTACTTCTACAATTGTCATTGTTTTGCTAGCTAATTATAAAATGATAGCTAATATTGGTTTTTACAAATAAGATTTAATATGTGCGTATCAAGTTTCTTTGACGTTAAAGAATAATAAGTGGACTTTATACGATCAAGCCTTTCACATGTTGATTGAAAATTCACACTATACTTTTTCATCAGCTACATAGCCTGATTTTGCTAGCAACATACAAATATAATTAAAAGAGAAGATCAAAGAAAGTTCAAAAAACTACAACGAGCCATATGACGCACTAAGCATAATACCTTCACAAAAGAATGAAGTACATGCATTATAGAACAAAAGCAAATTGAAAAGAAGATTCCGTTTGTTTTTTCGTTTCCACCAACCTCAAAAGAAAATGCTTTCTTTTTTTGCTAGCTTGTGTCTATGTCACAAGTGAATCAGAAAAACCGGCTTAAGTTTTATCTTAAATGTGGATACGTCACACCGGTAACTCGCAGAAATTTGAATAGTAAATAAGCCCCATTATTCTGAAATCTCCAATTTGAAATGTACCTAACAAACGTAATCCGACTTTAACGCGCTGATGTGTCTCTCTCAGAAGTTTGTTTATCACGTTCAGAAAGTAGTCTGCACTCTGATTCGTTTTATAATTTTGATGATTAGGAGAAAGCTACGATATGTAGAAACAACCTTCAACAAGTGAAAAGTCTCATCGAACAACAACTCCACAGCTAACTTAATTCAACATCTACTTTTACAAATGGTTTCGTGAAATAGAAAATAATTGACTGGCGTGCAAAAGTGACATAAAAACATTAATTAGGAAACTTTATATGTAAATTACTAGGAAACTATAAGTACATACTTGTTTATCATTTTAAGTAAAAGAAACTACGAGACACGCATTTTGAAACTTAATTAAACACACTTCCGCTTTATCATGTCATTTAAGGTCAAACTGATGCGTTAATAATTAATTGCAAAAGAGTCTACTGAACAACTGAATTTATAACTGCAGTGTTATGAAAAAGAAATATTATAAAAGCCAGTGTTCTAGATTTTAAATGTACAATTTTTTTTCGTAGAATGTGCAAGAAAATGAGCAAACGCAAATGTGTTGAAGATGTTTATATATTGAAACAGTAGCTTCGCCATGCTTGATAAGTTAGGGGACAATATTCATATATGCCTGTTTTAATCCTTAAGAAACAATTGATTTCAAAGGAACTTAATATACAGCAACACGCATATGTCTATAAAATATTTGTCACTTATCGAGCCAGCAACGCCACTGGATTGAAATCATATTTTTTCACTTCTTGCAATCAAATACAAACTGTTTGAAAACCAACGTTGTTCGATTTTCTTGGTACTTTAAACCTAATTAAGTATGCGCACTTTTATGCAGCTTATAACTATATTTTATTGTTTATGCGTGTAAGTACGTTAAGAATAGCGAACAAACTAAAGTTTTTGACTCTTTTGATATTCATTAGTTTTCTTTTGTCTTATCGACGCAGAAGTAAAAAAAATAAGATATCGACCAAATTTCCCAACGAGCTTGCATTTGCATATTTTTCTCTCAAATAACATGGTATTTGATAGCCTAGTCTTTGAGTATACCACAAAAATCATGGCCGTCTATTAAATATTGGATTGCCTTTACCTTGGACAACCAGTCTAATCGATTGTTTTCTTTTATTTGAGCGTTCGTTTTGCAAATTGCAAGTGTTTACCATTATAGAAACGGAAATACGTCAATCCTTGTGACATGATAAAAGCTTCGTACTTTCTTGTTTTCACATACAGTGAACTACAACAGAGACGAGTCGAGTGGCATAGGTTTGATTAAAACGAAATATGGATTGCAAGATACAGAAGAAACGAGAAAATCGCGACATTCTCAAGAATTCGCCCAGCTTGAAAATTGTGCGAAAGCTGTGCAATCGTGGAGTGGTTAGCGTAGATTTCAAGCGTCACTTCAAACAGCAGTTTGGCGCTCTCAAAGCAGCCGTACACAGGGAATCAGTACCTGCAGTGGATGACGAAGACTATTGGTTAGGTAACGTAATACATCAACTTCGTTGCAATATCTCAAAAAACATTCACAGAAAATTTTATTTGTTATGTTTAAAAGATAAAGTACAAAATATCGCGCAATTTAGCGCACTTTATTAATAAACAAATTGGCAATTGAATTTGGCCGATCAACTAAGCCTTCCATAACGCTCGTCAACAACTTATCATTAATTTAGTTAATTTATAGTGTTGCAACACGCAGGCTTTGACTGTAGGTATAACTTTGTCTCAAAATAAGTATTGACACCAAGAATTCTCAAATTACATTGTGTTTCTAGAAATACGTAACCAGTTTGCTTATGATGAGAATGATCAAAATGACGCGATTCCTATTAATGCTGCAAATTTTGCACCAACTTTTCATCCTGTCCAATTGTTGATGAACGAATTTAATCTGGAATTAAATAAGAATATCTCCATACAAAACCGACTGGATAATTTAGCAATGATAATTGATGAAGCTCATCAAGTCATTGCAGCGCAACTGGGTGTAGCAAGAACAGAGGTCGCCTTCATGCGTAATGGAACTGAAGCAAATAACAACGTAAACAATGGCCAGCTCTTACAACCAACTGATGAGGTGGGTACACTTTGGAAAATTTGAGACTAGGCGTATATCTTGGTGTACTTGGAATATGAAGCTCGCCCCTTAATGTTGTTAACTAGCGTTGTTATCTGTGGCGAGGAGTGAATATTGCCATTTTGATAAAAAAAAATAAATTTTGAGATGATAAGTAGCTATATCTTCAACATTTCTCTTTAATTATAATTTGTTCGCTTAATCTGTATATCGCACGCTGAACGCATTTTGCATATGTAAAAACAGACAGTAATGACAAAACATTTGATGGGTCTTTATTGCCAATGATTCTTTACCAATTGCTATTTTTTCCCGTCATAAGACTATCAGTCTACGTCATGCACTAGAGATTAACATGAGAAGCACGCACGGGCTTTGGTAGCCGGTCTCTTGTAGCTGTAAGTCTGTAACGTCGAACACCTTACGGTAAAAACAGGTAATTCTATCACATACTAAGGGCTGTTTACATGATCCCGGCAAGCTAGGATTCAGTGAAGCGTGAAATGATTTCAAGGGATTGAAAGGGGCCAAAACTTCAAGTAACATATGTTATAAGCCACTAGTCATTGCTATTGTAACTTTCAAATTAGGCCAAATTAGTTGTTTTAATTTTAAATGTTTTTCATAGTTATTAAAACAGAATATTGTAAAATTGCTCTAGAAGATTTATCTGATGATAAGTATTGAATCGTTTTTCATTCGCCAAAATCATTTCACGCTTGACTGAATGCCGGCTACCCGGGCTCATGTAATTAGCAGTGGCGTGCGGTCATGCAAGCGTAGGCAAGCGCCGCTTGCCTAAGCATTTTACCGAACAAAAATTTTTTGGATCAATCTCTGAGCAAAATCAGTTTAAATTTTTCTGTTCTAAACAATGTCAATGTAATCTTTTGTCTAAATTGTCTTTACAGTTGAAATGCTTGCTATTTATACGCGATTTGCTGTTGTGGTTTTCGGTTTCACTTTGCTACACTTGTAAGATGAGTCAAGTGGATTAAATACACCGAATATTTATTAACCAAGGCAAGCGCGCTTACCTTCGGAGCTCAATTTGAACATTTGCGCATGCGTTAATCTAGATTTGGAGGCTTCTTATTCGAGGAATATCGAGAAAAAAGCGGCGCTTCTAAGGGCGCCGCTTGATAGCGATTGGTCAACAGTCTTGTACGCTCGCAATTTTAAACACATATCAGCGCACGAATAATATTCGTATATTCAACACATTGCACATCCGAATTATTCACGCCGTTAATGTTATCGTTTATTAAAAGATGACTGAGAGCGAAAGGTAATGTTCTGATTTCTAATTCAAAGTAGTAGGTGCTTTACTGGTTATTTTATTATTTTCTGCGCACAATGTGCGTAAACAAGCAGGGGCCGCAGTCTGCAGAGATATCGAAATGCACGCAAACGTGTGTTGTGGTAAAGTATGACTAGCATTATGACCAAAACACTATGCTCTTGTCAGTCTTGTGTCGTTGAATTCGTAAATTAATGACTAAAAATAAAAGGTACAAGACACTAAATAATAAACACGACTCTCCGATATTCTGAAACGTACGAGTCAGTGCCAGACACATTTTGAAGAACGGGAGAACACGTTGCCATGACGTCATTATACCAAAATATAAACATTAAACAACGCCATGGCCTCAGTTTGTAACACACCGTGCCAATTTTGTGCGCGAAACTGTTCTTAATTGTTATAATCACGACTGCTACAATACATTTCGCGCCTATTGTCTTGCAATTTATGTATGTAGAAGATATTATCTGTAGCATGTAATACAAGATTATGATATTGACAAGAGCTTCCTTTTGCGTAGTAGTTTTGATATTTGTATTCGGTAGATATCATGTAACTGATATAAGGTATAAATAAGATTGATGTTCCTATAAAATATATAGCATAGGATTTTTCATCCTTTTATGTTCTACTTCTACATTCGGTATTTTCACGACACCTGTACAACATGACTGAATGCATTGTGGAATCACTGTCAGCGCTTGCCTATTAAATTCAGTCACCGCACGCCACTGGTAATTAGCCCCTAATTCATTACAAATGTCTTATGCGGTAAGTATTGTTTTGAATTGGTTATCATAACAACAAATGACCGCGATGTGGAATACTAAAACTTGAGCGAAGAGTTTTTGTTTATTAAAGGAAATCATTTACAAGCTTTTGATTGTAATATATTGCGTTAATTCTAAATTATTCCAAGTTAAATGAATAGTAATGTTTTGGTTGTTTTCTTTTATGCCATTATTGGATCTGAGTTCGCAATCACCATATGTACGTTCTTTACCAAATAGGTTGATACTAATAGAAAATTTCCCCTCCCTCTGGTATCAAAAACTCTTGTCGATCTGTGGCCTTGAATTTTTAAAGACCTCCGGAAAATATTTTAACATCCAGACAACTCAGCCGGATATATATATATATATCTATCTTTTTTTAAATTTTGTTTATGATATATTTAGGTCGTTCTGTGGGCACAAAACCACCCAACAAATCATCAGGCATGGTACATACGTCAAGCTCAAACACCGTTTGTAATTCACGACATACCTGCCAATCTAAATGGTGCCATTACCGACGAAGAGATTGTTGCGCAATTTGTCAATGAAGTTAACGAAAACACCAAATTTCTTACATTCTCTCACCTGTCAAATGTCAGTGGTCTCTTGCTACCTGCAGAACAAATATGCAGGGCTGTTCATAGCGTCAACCCCGATTGTCACGTGCATGTTGACGGTGCAATGACCTGGGGATGCATGAATTTGAATTTGGCACAAATGGACTGTGACAGGTAAGTTTATTAAAGTATTTACGTAGTAGGTGCAACATTGTACGTAGTTATTTGCGTAGTACTTTTTAATGTAGTAATTGCATGTTTAGCGCCCTAATGTATGTTTTCAGCAAAATAAAAGCCCCACAGGCCACCGATGGATTACCATAATCAAATACACTGTTTAGCGTCAAATGTACTAGATTGACCCTTGAAATTTGCAAAACATACAAATAAATCTAATTTGAAAATTAGAGATGCCGATAATGTTCTTACTATTCTTTAATTTGGAGAAAAAAATAATGAAGAAATTTTAGTGCATTAAAAAATTTTCAAACTTTTTATTAATTCTGCAAAGAAATATTGCCTGCTGACAACATTCTAATATTTTAAAGAGTTTTTTGTTTAAGACAATAATTAGCTAAAAAAAATTAAGAAAAATTAAGCGAGTTAACAAAATCATAAAAATTTATCAAGTCCCTTGATCTACTTGTTAAACATTTTAAGTTTATATTATCTTCTTTGCCTATTAAAATGATTGAAAAATAAATTCCGAATAGAGTTTAACTAATTGATAACTGTCAAAGTTTAGGAACATTTGAGGAAAAGTAGTTGAGTCATCATAGTTTGACAGTTTGAAGATCATAAAGCATTTCTATCGCCCTTCAAACCTTGAAAGTATACGAGCCTATAGCGTTCAACGTTAAAAAAATAATCAATTTTACGTTTGATCACTGTCTGCAAAATTTGTAAAAGTTGATTAGTTTAAACATGAATGTCTGTTTATTTGCAGTAGAGCATTCTCAATGGTTGATTGTTGACAAATATCAAAATACATTTAGTCATTTACATATCCCGTTTGATTTAGAATCAAGTTTCTGTACGTAAGTATGAAATAAGGATGCAATCTTTCATTAATTATTGTCTCTCGTGTCTATATTTAGTTACTCAGCCTCTGCTCACAAGTGGTTTCTTGGACCCAAGGAAACAGGGTTGTTCTACATGAAATTAAGTCGCATCCCAAACTTTACTCCTAACACGTTTGGGTACGATCCAATGATCGTCGTCCCTGAAGAGCTTTACACTGACGCGCGAAGATTTGAGCTTCTTGGTCAGCGTGCCGATCCTAGCTTAATGTGCTTATTATGCACAGCCGAGATAATGGAGGACATTGGTTTCCAGAGCATCGAAGACAGAGTTCGCTACCTTGGTACTATTGTCTTTGACGGCTTTTCAGGCTTTGATTTCCCCATGACAACACCATCTGACGTAAACCAAAGGCTTGGCGTTGTTATTGGTGGCGTAGATCCAGACGTAAGTAGCGTGCGTCAAAGCAATGCATTCACAAATTAAAGAAAAAGTGAACTTTCCAAATGTTTTTAGTGTTTTTTGCACAGTGCAATTATTGTTTAAGGATATCAAATTTACCTATGCTTCCTTAAATGCTTATGGATTGTAAAGAAATTTTGTCTGTTTATGATCTTGTCATATTATTATCATGTATGGATCAGATCATCTTATTTGAATTTATTCTTATTGTAATTAAGAAAAATTACTTTTCTGTCCTTTAGTGGGGTGCAAACCTGTACAACTATCTTTATGATACCCACAGAATTGCTGTTGCCAGTACAAGCGGTATACGTGCTTCACCACACATTTGCAATATACCAGATCAGCTTCAATCAATGCTAGATGCAATTGAGGAGTACATTGGACTATATCCACCACCTCCACCACCGGAAACAGTGATTTATAGTAAATGGTAAACAAATACAAACCAAATTAGTAGATGAAATTATGTTTGCTCAATGATTTTGGGATTAAAGTTAACGATATATTAAGTAGTCATGGTAACAATGTGAAAAATTGTTAAATAATGGTAAAAATATTCTGTTAGTGGTTTGCAAATTCAAGAAAACAATATTACTTTCAATAAAAATGGCATCACAAACTTTATTATTTGGTTGGTTATTGTGTAAATTGTTTGAGGATAAATGACAAAATCAGTTATCCCTTGACACTGTGAACATCTTTATTATGTAAAAATTTATAGTGGGGTGGTTATTGCATTCTCACTTATATTTTATGTATAAACAATTATATGTAATTTAGTATTGATCATAATATAGTCCTAACAAAAAGTGGCAAACTTTGGTTAAGTAATTTTTCATTTGTTTAATTAGGAAATGAGGTGCAAAGTTTTCTTTAGTTCTTTCATTGCAGCTCATTTAGTGTACCAAAACATCGAGAAGGAAAAGGGATTACTTTTAGTAACTAGAAGTTACTATCGCAAGGAGGTTGCTGCCGTCAATCATAGAAAATATTCTTTTCCTATCCAGCAAGACAAAATTCAACAGTGTTTCAAACAAATTGTAATATATCTTTTACAAGTCAATACAAAGATACTGCAAACGTTCTTGTTAACTATAATAGAGGTTAATAAATGTTTAATTATAAAGTCAAATGTAAATTTCAGAAACATTTATTAGTTTTATGAGCAGAGAGTCATATGTTATAAAGAGTTCTGGTAAATTCAAAATCTTGACAGCTAATTCTTCAGGAGTAATAGAAAAAAATGATAATGGTTTAGCCATAATTTAAACCAGGCACTTAATATTTTCATGAAAGACTGCCAAGCTGACTGTCTCTTCTTTACCAGAATGGGCAAACAGTCATCGATGAGCTATTGCTTTTTAGATGGTTCAGAGTTTGAACCATGTTACAAGATTCACACTTTAATGTTATTGCATGAAGCTTTGCAGTTTTCTTCCTACATTTAAAGCATGATTGATAACACGAAATAGATTCGACACCAACTATGCTAGCAATCACTTCTGAGGTAGAAAATATCTGCATGTCTTCTACAACATCTTTCAAAATCTTCAGCATCTTCAAATGAGAACTGGCCACATTTAGGAGTGTTAAGATGTATTGAACCTTTAATATCACGTCTTAGTCGTACGTTTTTAAGAACATATGTCAAGCCTTCTTGCAGAGCATGAACAAACTCTTCCCAAAGTATTAGTTTCACTGATGTGGTTGGGTCTCCAATTACAAATTACTGCTTGACCAATGAAGAACTTGCATTTGCTTTAGTTGTAATTTTTTTACTACCTTCCATCTTGATAGTTTTGGCTTTGACAGTAATGAGTGGTCAGGTGATATTTCATTCAGAGACAACAATAAACTAACCACTGATGGTGTGCTATCTGTACACTGGAATCCAACTTCTTCTGAAACTGGAATAACTTTTAAAGTTGTTCGATCATAACATCTTCTTTTCCATACTTGGAATTTATACGAAATCTAGATATTTTTACAGAACTCCTCTCAGCTTCATGTTTTACAAAAACTGTTCGTTTTTCAGGAGAGAAACAAACTGCATTCTTTTCACCTTCACTGGTTTGCAAAGTAGCATAGTAATATTTGCACTTGCCAAATGATGAAACTTTGACTGGTAATACGGGGTGAAGGTAACAAACGAGTTCAATTGATGCTAAATAACGAAATAGCAATTGTTAATAACTGCAATGTAAATATAAAATATTTAAAGCTTAACATCATGTGTTGTCAGAGTGTAAAATGGATAAATATGTAACTAAGTCCTTTCACAAAGCCAGGTATAATTTAACAGATACGTACCATTTGATTGCTTCTTATGCTCCATTCTTTTGTGTAATCTAATATTCTTTGTTTGAATGTGTAGGACACAAATGAATGACACGTGAAAATGTTCATTAAAGCATTATACAATGCGTGTACCAAAGGGCCATTCGTTTTTTCAGCTTGAAGAAAACGAAAAACGTTTGTGCGTGCTAGGAATTTCGCAATTCGACTTCATAAACTATTCTTTAAAACAAAACAGAACATAAGATAATTTTATTAAAGGACCATTCGCTTTTCCAGCACTAGAAAAAATGAGAACAAAGCGGCTGTCCAATTTTCATTTTTTCATTATCTAAATTAAAAAAACGAATTTTGAAACGCAAAGCCGTTTTTCGGTTTTAGCGGGCGAAAATATGTATAGAATTATTTTTGACGAATGTTTGCATGCGGTTTGTGAATCGCGAATGAAGTGGAAATGAGCCTTAAGAGGTTCAAGCCCTGAAATTTCATTGGTAGGAATCTTTTTGGCTTGTGTTGAATAATGAACTGCATTTATGTTAGCAATAGGACTTGGCAGTTTTTTCAGTTGCTCATCATTGTGACTAGCCACTTGTTCATTACTGTAACAAAGTCTAACTGCATCATCGAAAAGAGATAAATTATTAAGACAGCCTGGTTGACGGCTAAGGAGTGACTTTCAATCATTAAAGTTGATTGTCCATCTCTTAGATGCAAAAGCAAGTCCCTAAATTTTACTTGCCCAATGGGCATACCTTAAACTCATTGGTTAATTTGTAAGCTTGACAACTTTTATCAAACATATTGTAAGATTGATAACCTTGTTCACCTAGAGCATTTGATGGTTTTTTGTGGTAAAAAGATTTATCAGCTACATAGGGGCAATTGACCATCATCAACTTCTAATTACCTGTTTGTAAATGTAGAACGTCCAGGTTGGTATAGTCCTGAGAAGGACTGTTTTTGTTGTTGCCGACTGACGTTTCGACAACCTTAGCGTAGTCATCTTCAGACTCACCTTTTGAATCTGAAGAAAAGAAAATCGTTATCCTAGTTAAAAGTAAAAAGAAAAGAATAGCGAATGCATAAAGACACTATAGAACTATGTAAAATAACCTGACTGCCGCTACCAAGCATACAAACGAACAAACAATATCCACTAGAATATCTACTCGAGATACAATATACAAAGACGTCACCATGTAAAAGAAAGAAAGAAACTAAATTATTAAAGGGAGAGATGTAGTGTTTAATATAAGTGGGGATAATAATGATATGCATGCAACCAAGCGGGGTCCAAGGGAGATAGATACAGAAAGAGAGCATGAACAAGCAAACAGGAAAGATACGATAGTCTTGATGACCTTTATACGTTGGAAAATGCAAGACATTCGGTAGCGCAAGAAATTTGTTTTGATAAAATTAATTATTACGGTAAAGTTTTAAATTTAGTAATTTATGCTCAGTAGTGGTTTGAATTTGGATGTCTTGTGTAATAGTTTCAAATCTCTTTTTTTCATTTTTGCAATTTACCACCAGAGGCCAGAGAAACAATTAAATGACTCGACGTTCACGAAGCTTGACAACCAATTCTTTATTTTCTTTTTTATCAACTATCGACTCTGCCTTAAATTATCTCAGCCATTTCAGTAAATCAATGAAGAAGACATGCATCTTTATCTATATTTACTTTTAATTTGATAAATTAAATATAACTACACAAAACTTGAAATAAACATGTTTGTCTTTTTTGTCGTCTTTGATATCAATTCCTCCTCAGTCAGTTTTTGTGCATTGAGTACATTTAATCAGAGCTCTAACCTCGCTCACCCTACTCTTAACCTAACCCTAGCCCCAAAACTAATATAGTCAATAGGATAAAATATTTCAAATCAAGTGATTAGTGGATTGAAAATGCTGTTGTGTAACTAAAGTCGCCAAGTTTCAACAGGAGTTCAAAAGCGTTCTTTGAGACTGTATTCCTTATGAAATACAGTGATTTTAGGCTGTTACCTTGGTTAAAAGATGCGTTTGTTACTTTAAACAGTTAGAAAACTTATCCAATTAAATGCTTATTATAGAAATTTATCACGGAGATTTATATACCTTACCTCAATGAAAAGGCCCGATCACATTCACTTCTCTCTCAGTGTTCTTTTTATTTACATTTTTATGAGAGATTTTTATAGTAAAAATCAAAATGAATGCTACAGAATGGTCAAGTTGTTTTTCTGACGCTAAGGAATAACAAAAGTCCAAAATCGAGTTAGTTTTGCATAAAAAGACCTTACTGCGCAAGGTTAGTGTTTTGATCCCTACTCTTGCTAAGCATGAATAATTTTCTATTTCCTTCATTTTTTTGTCATATATATGCGTAATATATAACGAATATTATTACCGTTGAAGCAGCCAGTAAATTGCATTTTCTGACCAATAGGAACGAATCAACGATGAAAATGCCAGATGGCATCCATATATCTAGTTAAGCATATATCAGTAATTTGCAAAGAAGGTTCCAACTGTTTTTCTATGATAGCGGATGGAAGCTGTCACTAATTTAGCGCATCTGGTGATCTGGTGGGAAAATTGAAACCGGAAATGCCTCATTTGCATATAATTTATCAATCTCACTTCCCTGTGATTCAAATGTTTTACAGATTTCTTTCCATTTGATGTGAATGAGCAATAAGTGAAAATAATAAAAATGCAAAAGCTCGATTATGTGCTGAAATTCAAAATTGTCGTAAAGTGGAACCATCAAAACTTATGGAAATGAACCAATATCCGGCTTCAATCTTTATACAAAATTTTAACCGAGATGACGTTTTAACGAATTTTAACGGAGATGACGTTTGTAATTTACTATAAATATAAGTGAGCGAAAGGGCATCCTTTAAAGTTTACAATTCGTTTCGAAGCAAGTCAACAATCTTTTCAACCATTCTGTTTAATTTTTACGCGTCAAAGACTTTGACACAGGATAAAGGCTCTTTGTTGCTGGATGTGAAGTAGAGTCATTAAATCTGTTCGCAAAATATTCTTTATAATATGTTGCAGTATTATTGATCGTGAATATTCCTCAATCCAATCCAATAGAAACAAAAAGAAATATTTTCTAGCAAATAACAGAAGTTTCATCAGATCATTCAATAATCATTCAACCATCACATCAATTTATATAAAATAACAATGCACAACTTGAAGAGCATTGAAGGTCAGAAATCCTTGAAGAATTTTTGCTAACATGACTACTTTATACTTACGTAAACGATGGGTTAACTTTCTCAAATCTTAATTTTACATTATGTGGATATCACAGATACAGCTTTTTTCTAAAAGCTATGTATTGTGTAAGTATTATAATGTTAATGTTTGTCATTAACCATGCAGTCCTGTCTGCATATGATCTCAGAAGTGGGGATTCTTAGTCTAAATTCTCGGATTGTTTTCACTTGCAAAGTTAAGAAAAAGTCACTTTAGACAGTTGCATACTTTGAATTAAATTTTAAGTTTAAATATAATATATCTTTGCCTTTTATGACGTACAGGAACGATGAAAATGGCTAACCGCACCACTGAACTAATTAGTATAGAGCAGCATGTTGCACATCGAAGCGGTCCAACTGTTTATTCCTTAGGCTTTGCTTTGAAAGAAAGCACAATACTAACAATACTATAAATTTTTTTCCATGTACAGTGCTTTTCCTCTTGTTTGTATAAACGAGCTCTTACAAAAGCAGTATGTTTACGTCCTAAAAACGGAAATACGTAATTGAATTTGGTGATGATGTTGATGTCATGTGATTGTTTTATTTAAATAGCGACAAGTCAAAACTGGGGTGTATTCCAGCGCAGCCTTTCGCAGCACTGTTTCTATCACTCGCGTTCAAGAAATATTTTTCTTTTAGATGTAAGTAAACCTACTCTTTTGTTATAATTTGCAAAATATATTTACGAGAACCATGCATAACACTGATTATATGTGTATCAATTTAATCGTCTGTATATAAGTAATAATTATTTGGGCATGTTATTTGTATTCCTGCAGAAAAATTTGCTATCGGTTGTAAAATTTACATCTGGGGATTAATAAAATTGCTTGCTTGATTGCAGCAAACTCAACAGCATTTTCAGTCATTATTTTATAAATTGTACAACATTTGATGATCTGTGCAGGTCTATAAGCTAGGACAACAATATTGAATATAACTAAAAGCTTGCGCGCACAGAGTTGACTTTCGCATCAACAAGAAATCAACAATTGTTATGTTGCCCATAACGGAGCACCTATCAAATATTCTATTGATTATAGTTTAGCTGAAACTTAACTCCTCGCTGTAATTTCAAGAAGGCATTAATTAGCGAATTGACAACCACACCTGCAAGTTTTGCAACAAAATTTTTAGTCTTGATTTTGAGGAATTCCTAGCTTTGATGGGTTTTTTTTATAAATACCAGATGATTTTTGGTTTCCGGACAGTGTGCAGATTAATTAGGGAAAGAAATAACAAAATAACAGCGAGCGTGCTGCGCCTTCTTGTTTTATGTGACATCAATCGATCTTCTTCTTGTTGTTTTGTAGTCTTTTGATTCTCTTGTGAAGATTTCAAGATGACAGAGGATTTTGACGACTCGTAAGATAATTATCCTCTCTTATTACAATAACTATTAAGTTCATGAATAGTTCGAGCTATTTCAGCACTTTTTACGAGCACAATGCGTTTAATGTGCACCATGCGTATAATCTTAGTGGAAACGTTATTTATCTCTAAGAAAAATATATTTCGCTGTCCTTGCGATTTTATTTCGGTTGCAGGTTGGAAGAACGGGAATGCTTTGTCTAAAATTGGGAAGTTTCCGAAGTGGATACATTCCAAGTTTTACACTAAATACTCAAAGACTGAAACACAAATTATTAGAAATAAAACATATTTCTGTTTTATGTCAAAACAATCATCAGACAGAGTGATACTCCTCAAAAATTCCTCAGACAACATAACAAGTTTGACGAGTATCAATTGTCTACCACCAAAGTTAAACAAAGGCAGCATGCAAATATTGCTTTTAAGCATGGCTTTTTTTGAAAGGGTCAAGTGCACTCTTACTTTGTGATACATCCCGAACTTATTTCAATATGAAAATCATGTCAACGTTAGGAATAAAATTAAAGTTTTGTAAACCCCCCACAATGCAAGAGCTGATATAGACCATCGAGTTCTATGATAACTGGAGCGTCTATCTCAAGCGCTGCTTTAGATATCGGTTGATGCAAAAAAATGGAGGAATTAACTTATTTCCGCCGAGATTATTTTTTATGATGAAAATCAAGGTATAAACCGAAAATCAAAGCAGCGAGTTTCTCACGAAGGAAGCCTTAACTGTCAACTTTACCCATGTGAAAAGCAATTTCAGTTGAGGATGGTTAGCTTCTTGAAATGAAATTCTTCATTCATTTCACGAAGCGAAGGTGCTCAAAATCTCCATGTTGTTGGCTTTTGTTGGATACATCATCTCTGTTGTTGAACACGCGAGTGCCCTCTTCATGAAACATTGAAACAGGGTCGTAAATCCTGGAGAGAGGAGGGGTTAATTGGGTGACTGAGCAAACCCTTGACATACATGCACACAAATTAAAAGTTAGAAGTTTTTTCAAGCAAAGCATTAAATTTTCGAAATTAAAACGGCAAAGAGGGTTATTAATGAAATTAGCGTGAACTCAAATGTAAAAAAACGATTTTGTTGATGTTAACATACAATTAATCTTCGTCCTTTTGTTGGGCAAAATCAATAAGCGCGACTATTAAATTCGTCGTCTGAATCAAACTACGCTCAAAACTATTTTGGTCGACTAAAACTCAGATTTGATTCGGCGCATGTAAAATATGACGTTTGAACCGGGCCTTATGGAGCAATGTAGGACAAAATAATATTCGTTGAACATTTACATTGTCTTGATAGTCGCCTGCAATTTTCAGTAATCTAAATGTAAACCGGTCAAAATGCTTCTTGATTGGCTACAAGGTGTTAGTTTACCGGAATTAAACCGATTATAAACCTTTGGCGTGTTGTGGGTCGAGCGTGTTGTACGTCATCTAGAGTGAAACTGATAATGAAATAAGTGTAGCTTAAAACGTTCGATATGAAGCTATTGAGAAAATATCACGAAGGGAAAGTTGAAAATGACATAAAGGGAACGAAAGCTAGCCTCGTTTTAGAGAGCGGGCCATTCGAGTTGATCATATTTTAAGACATCGACCGCGTCGATCTAAGTACTTTGTTTACATCAGGCTTATTGTTTATAGCCTAGCGTTGGCCTGCAAAGTATTGAATTTTTCATTCGTTCTCGAGGTTTGTACCGTTTTAAATGTACGTCGTACTTTTAAAACAATTATATGTATCATCTCCATAATAGATTACTGTAACCTGTTGACAAAAATTCTAAACCCCCCATGCAAAGTATAAACATGTATTGAAATTATTTTGATCAATTGAAACTACCCCGCACGTTGCAAGATTGTTAGAACTAGTCATATGATAGATTTGCCTTCTTTTAACAAGAAGCAAGAAAATATTTGTTTTTGTTGCGCATTTCATTTTCTAAATCGCTCTGTATATAAATATATTTCCTGTACGTCGCATCGTCTGTCAACCGGTTAAAAGGAGTCTATCGCCTTCTGTTGGATAATAATTCAAAGATATTTTATGTGTGAAGACGCTGTGACTTATATGTTGACGCAGTGTAACGGCATAAACAATTGACTGTAGGACGACTTAACTTTGCAACAAAATCAGGCGGTGTTGTATATTTTCATAGATCACTGGCAGCGGTTAGCAGCAAGTGCAAGACTGCATGAAATTATGCCTGGAGTGTTTAAAGGATATCATATCAACCCCGCAAATTGTTTATGTGACAATTTTAACATGCTCGTTATGTTGCAAATTTTGGCTTTTAATCTGCTTTAAAGAAGCTGAATTAGTAAGATATCTCCATTTTGACGTCTCTAGGTCAATCGATCTCTTGATTTCAGTGCACTGTTCACAATTGTTGCTGTTGGAGGATAAATGCCTTCAAGATGTCTTGTAAACATCCCGTTGAACATATCAAATGCCGCAAGTGAAATGTTGCCTGAATTTATTCTGCATTAAGTAGTCTATGACAATAAGTACCTAGTTCGAAAAGCGCTAGGGAAGATTTTGAAGCAATATAAATATCATCATATACAAAAAATTCGAACAGAAAACTAATTTTATAACGAAATACAGCCAGCATGCCACTTAAAATTAATTTTGTTTTCTTGGTATTCTGTTTAACCTTGTTGCATGTGTAAGAGTCGAAAGAAAATTTTACATGAAAACTATTATAAACTCCAGGCGACACGGTGAATGATTATTTTGTTGTAAATTGCTCGAGGCTTATTGAATACTGTCTTGCAAACCCTAGTTGGCAGTGTAACAACTGTAATAAGTAATTAGAAGTTATTATCGCAAGGCAAGGGCGGCCCTTGCCTCTTGTCAGCAAAAAATGCTAGGTACAGTGAGGACTTGGTGTAATGCATAACTAACATGTTTCGTGTTAAATCTTTAATTGGAAATTCGTTTTGATGAATCCCTACAAGACAAGTCTGGGGAACTTTATATGCTATGACAGCCAATTGCTTGATATAAATGATAGACAAAAGCTTTTTACATGCGTCTCCTTTTAACTTTCAACATTGCGTTGGCAAGAATTATTTTAATGTTTATCTCCATAAATAGAAATTTTGACCGCTTGCCATGTTTAGAGCATTCTTTTTATTTAATTAACCTCCCACCACAGTGGAATGAATATACAGTAGAGCCACTCCATTGAATTTTTCGTGCCACGCATATCCTATTTCGAATGTGATTACCATAGTGGTGAGATTCCAGCATAAATACCTACCGTGCATTTAATCTTATTTCCTTTCACAATATTTAAAGATAATTTCATTGCTTTTTTGATGGAAAACATTTTTGGGGATAATAATTAAATCTTATAACAGTTTAAAAAGCTATTCCAAGAGTATGATACTTTGTTTTCTCAACCAAGAAATCGATCGTGAACGAACGCATATTTACATATCTAGAAACAGCCAATATTGACAAGACAATATTATGCCGATGTAGTTTGTTGCCAGTGTTGTCTTGATAACATTTTGATAAGACCTCATTGCTGATGAATCTGTGTCGATTGTGATTAAATTATGTTTAGTCTTTGAACGTTGAGTGCAAAAAGCAAATAGTTCATAGTATTCCTTGTCCATTGCTGGACCCGCACCATGTGCTTAAATTCTTTGTTATTTTCGATGTTCTGTTAAACCCACACCGATATTATAATTAGTCAGAAAAACTTGATTAAAAATTATTATATACTTAACATTCTTTCTCACCGGAGAACTTCGACCAGATTCCAAGAAAAACAGTGGGAATGAGTACTATATGCGATTAATCAAGTTTGTTTACTTCTGTCGCCAAATGAGATATAATTGATGATATTGATCACTTGGGTGATTTCAGTGCTTACTGTATTGAAAATTACGTTGTTTATGCCACATATAATTGGGTTCCTGACATAAAACTCTGACTTTTCAAAAGACTCTACTTTATTGTGCATTCTATAAAAAATCGACCTGAAACTGTTAAATAACAGACAGACTGAAGCAAATTGATATTGCACCAATATTTAGCTCTATCTGGTTAATAGGACGAGACATCTCGAGGATAGTGTGCTTCCACGTGGAAGCAATTCTTTTTGTCTACGTCATAAAAGGTCTGTATTTTAATCCTCTCAAAGCACTTCACATCTTCAGGGGAGATATATAAATGAAGAATTTTCTAGTGAACACAAAAGACTATTCAGTAATTTAAATTTGCCTACATCGTGTAAAGTGTTTAAACTTTTAAGCACTTGTCTACAGTTTAATGATTCGCAATTAATTTTAAAACGTGACCAATGCTGCACTTCTTATACGAATAATTTTCTATACGATGATTTCCGTATTTCATTTGCAACTAAGAGTTAAGAAGAATGCATAATAAAGACAGTTGAAGTGCTAGACTTTGCATTTTACACGTTGACACTAAACATGTTATGGTTTCCTTTTTTCTTCATATTAGTTCACTTCATGTTCATATTAAATTTTCCCATTCTTCTCTTTACATGATTGTACAATTTAAAAGGATTGTAAGACTCTCAGAACTCAGAAACAGTTGCAATATTGATCATTGTTGATTGTAAAAGATTCCGTCCGTCCGAAACTTTGTATGAAAGCTCTTCAATATCAGAAGCATATCTGCTGTAGCCTACATCATAAACGTTGCGTACAGGTGTATGCAATATCGAAAAAAAGTTTGTCCTTGCGTACGTCACATTTGTTTGAGCTGTCCCAAAATTTATAGTAAATTAATTCACTTTTGAATTTCAATTTGCAGATATCTATAATTCATAAAGCTCTAGCGATATGAGTTAATTACCACTTGGTAGTGTACTTTTCGTTGATATAATTTGCTTGTATTTTGTAAAGTTCCTTCTAACAAATATGCAAAAAAGTTTTATAAAAGATGTTACAAAAAATAGAGTTGAAAGCCGTTTTTGTGAACTTGAATAATGCAGTATAATTACTTAAGAAATAAAAGATGTTTACTGTAATTGCCCGGGCGTATGCAAACTGAGACCATTGGGAGAACTCGAGAGCAGATCAGTGCAAACCCGAGACCTGCTCGAGAATTCTCCTAAACGTCTCCGAGGTTTGCATAAGCCAGTCAAACAAAAAATCATTTATTTCTTTTATAAATTAACAATAATGCGAAAAAGACAAACATTTCAACTTTTCCTCTCAAATGTATCCACGATCGATTTGCAAATTCTCTTTGGCTGATTGATTGTTTTGATTTATTTGATTGGTTGAGCTCAGATGTGTTTTGCGCATACTAATGCAAACACGGCCCTAGACCAATCACCGCACGCGTTTTATTGTTTTTATTTTATAATTGATAATGATACAATTTTCATTTTGTACTTAGAGCTACCGGTGACCGTTACGAAAATCAAGCCAATGCACTTGCAGCTTGGTTCATTGGACCGAGAGCAGAAAATCATGAGTTATTTAACAAACTTATCAGCCAAACAATCACTCAGCATCAGCAAAATCGTAGAAAGTACTGGCCAACGGACCCACAGTATGTAACCAAAAAGAAGAAGGCCTCTCTGCCTTACAGATATGAGAAAAAAGAACTCAAGGAAAAACTCAAAACAATGAACAGCGAGTTGGAGCAGAGTACTCCTGTTTTCAGCGCACGTTTTCAGGTAGAATTTTTGTGGTACTTCATTAAATTGTCATCTGTTCTATAGTCTCCCATTACAACAATGTACAGACAGTACAGTACTATCGTTGTAATCGATGTAAGTGAAAAGCGAATTAGCTTCCAAAAGTAATCAGTCGGACACAAATGAAGGCATGAATAGATCCCCCTTAAAAGAATGAATGTTCTAGTTCCGAGCCTGGCTCTGTCTATTTGAAGTGTGGTGAAGTGCACACATACGGCTGGGTAGGTACATCGATAATGAGGGGAGGTTGAATTGTTTAAGCGAATAGCATGTTTCGTCACGGCAGCCATGTTGGTGGTCAAACACAAAAGAATATTTTCTTATTGCTATTGTGGTCACCAGCCGTCGTGGGCGAGCGACATTGTTCGATAATTCTCTGGAGGTTGGTTGCAATCAAAGAATATGCATGATCTAACCTTTTTTTTACTTTGAAATCAAGCAAAGCATGCACGAGTATAGCCCCCCTCGCCCCAACCCTCCAAAATTATGAAGTTTACAACGTCCTCACTACGTATTCTGTCTCCGTCAGATGTAGCTACCACGCAGTATGTGTAATAACGATGTCACAAAGAAATAAAATAACACAATCCATTAAAGAAGTCTTTAAGCTATTTTTCATTGCCTTTACAAGGCAATTAAAAAAACACTATGGTACAATTTGATGTCATAAATACTTTAAGAGCGCGTCTGCAATGTAAACAGGACGATTTTTATTAAGTAATAAGCATAAATCAATGAAACGTTCATTGAACGTTGACAATGGCGTAGCAAGAGTTTGATCCTGCTACGTAAATCTCGAAACACTTAAAACATCATAATTTATTTCTTTAGGCATCTTTTAGTTTTTACGTTGATAAAACGAAGAAAATTAACACAACGGGAATACATACGTGTAGACCGAACACATTGGAAAATTTTGTTAAGAGAAATTTCAAAGATGTTCTAGGCGGGAAAAAATATCAAATAAACAGACAGCTTATGAAACCTTTAATTCTTTTCCTAATGCTCAAACTTATAACAAAAATGATTTTAAATTACTTAAAGAGAATTTAGTGTTGTTTTAGACCCCTCCAAATGTAAACATCTAGTACCCCCCTCTGTCACCTTTTTTGCAGAAATTCTCCATTTGTGCCTGACACTAAGTTCTTGAGCCAATGAAAGTCTTTTTTGGATCTGCTAACGTGTGCCATTAATCAAACATATTATGATACATGACTTACTTACATGTATTGCTCTATGTTAGATTGCCTTGCCGAGGACGCCTGATAGGCACTTTGTTGTCTTTAAATTATTATTGTAAAGAAATCACAACCATATAATTTCTTGTGCATAATCACTCCTATAATAAATCCCATGTATGGCAGATATGCACTTTTGCATGTAAGAGCCAATAAGATGACAGTAAACATCCTTACTTACCAGTTTCTTGGTTTACGCGAACGCATTAAAATCCAACTTTTAATTATTTTAAGGGTCACATGAACTGGGATGTTTCAATGCCAGCTATTCTGGGTTATATTTCGGGAATGGTATGGAATCCAAACAACGTGGATGTTACAGCTTCCCTATTACTACACCTTATGAAATCCTCGCTGCTGAGCAGATTTGTGACATGATTGGTTTTGATGATCCAGTTATTGAGCCATGGGGACACATAACTTGTGGTAAGCATGTTTATACAATGTAAGTTGCTCTGTTGACAAAAAGATGTAGTGCAGTGTACTTGTTGTAGCATTATTGGATGATATTAAAAAGAAGATTTGGAAGAAATAGCCATCCGGAAATTCAATATTTGAATTAAAATAAGAAACGTAAAATTGAAAGTAAATTTACGACTTTGTTTTAAAGTCTTTGTCAAACACAATGATACATGATACTTTATATACAGGTTGCCTATACGCATATTTACATTGATATACACTTAAGCAGATGGTCAGTCACAGCGCCAAACGGGGGGGCGGGGTCGAGGGCTACTTTTCCCCCCGTGATATAGATATTTCTGTCATTGACATATGTTAGCCTAACATGAGGCAAAGTAAGACGCATATTAAATTTAGTAAATATAAATCATAGCCCTCCCAGAGTGCAATCTTGTGGCGAAGACCCTGAAAGAAATAAATTGTGTTAGGTATAGTCTATGTCAATAAATCAATTGTAAAGAATATAAAATTCCTAATAACAAGCAAAATTCATTAGCAACAGACCATTTAAGGATATCTGTTAATTTTGGAAGGTCTTAAAAATAATTGACTTATTCCTTCTTTCTTAACATATATTTAATGACTTTAATTGCCTATATTGGGTTGAAAATTTTAACTTCATAGGATTTTTGCGCATAGAAGAAAGAGTTTTGCGCCAAACGGGACGTAAAAATAAGAAAACGTACTTTTTACTTTTAAACGTAATCTTTGGTTATTCGCTTAAACGTTGTCGTCAAAACTATAGACTTTTAAGGAATCTTAAATTTTTAGTGTGTTATCTTCAATATATCTTCAATCCAAGTGCCTCTTTATTATCTTCCATCCCGCGCAAGGTAACCTACTTCTGTGTCACAAAAAAGCAAAGAACGTATAAATTTTCGAACTATCAGCGAAATACATTGCAAATGTTCTTAAAATTAATGTCTAAAAATATTAATTTTGAGCATAATAACAGAACAATAAACACGCAGACACCAAAAGTCATTCATCCATTTTTTAGAAAATATTTAAATTTTTTCAGGTGGGTCAATTGCTAATATTGAGGCAATGTGGGCAGCTAGAAACATGAAATTTTACCCTTTGAGTTTAAAACGGCTGTAATGAACGAGTCCGAGCTTGCTAGCGCAAGGACTTATCAAATCTTGGTTCCAAAAGAAGAGCACCCTAAACCTGATGGTGACAATGACTATGTCATGAGGGAGCTGCAATTATGCTCAAATTGGCAGATGCTGAATCTTAATACGGATGATGCCTGCAGGTAGGAAATGAAACATGCATTCTAGGATAAGAAAATAAAGGCAAGATGACGTTTTTATTACATTTTAGCATGGCAGATGGAGTGGCAACGGCTACTGGTTTATCATTGGATAAAATTTCTGAACTCGCTCATCAATACGCTTATACATCCATGGGTATAGTTAATTTTCATCAGGTACATAACATAGCGGCGCCACACGTGTTTGTACCAGCAACATGTCATTATTCGTGGCCAAAAGCAGCCACAGTTCTTGGAATTGGCGAGGACAATCTGATCCATATTAAAGTCGATGAACTGGCAAGACAGGATGTAAAAGGTTTGCTGTCAAAAAAATTTTTAATTAAAAAAATTAGTCGATCTTGCTCTGCTTAAAAGCACCAACTTTCAAGTATAATATGGTTTTTACATTAAATTGAAATAAAAAGATGCATGCAGCTCAAAAAGTATTTTAAATTATAAAGATAGCAATTATTATATCTCAATAAATTGTTTAGTATTGTGATTCAATTGTAAATCATACAGAGGCAACTGCTTCATTGGCTTCCATCAGGAGGGAACTGAAGGGGACTCTCCCCGTTAGTCTGAAGTTGGGTGTTGAGATTTTTCAAATTGTGAAGAGAAAATAAAGGGAGGGGGTGTACAATCAATCCAATATGAAAAGCCATTTAATTATAGTTGCTTCGTGTAAACTGGTACATACGAAAACAAAATTGACAGCAACTCTTGAGCATCAATTTCGGAAAGCTGTGCTTCAAAAAACTTGTGGATTTTGAATTATCATAAAACATGCTTGTGAAAAATGGCGTTTTTGAAAACCCACAAAAAACATTTTTTAAGGGGGCATGCCTTTAAGCCAATGTTGAGCTCTCATACACCTTTTGCAATTTCATCTCGCCCTCTCTTCCTCAGACTGAGAAGCATGGTAACGTCACGGGACTTCTCCCCTATCGAACACAAATCAACCATTGCGTTAAGCGTCTTAAACCTGTCATTCGTTTTTCACGAAATATATGTGACTACTACTTGTTGGTTTTCAAACTCATTCTATAATTCAAAACCAGACATGTACATGCTAAGTTATTTCATCTTTATATAGATCTAAGAGATCAACTTGACAAGTGCGTATTTGGCTCCATTCCAGTGATCTCGGTCACAGCTGTTATTGGTAGCACTGAGGAGAGTGCAATAGATCCTTTAACTGAAATACTCGAAATAAGAGAGGAGTACAAAAGAAAGGTAAACATGTCAGTTTAAAAAACTTGCAATTGCACGGAAACTTAGTGGCAGATCTAGTGTATGTCAAAGCAAATTACTGCATCGCATTTTAGAATGTAATTACATTTCTAAACCCGATAAAGACAATTCCAATGGTAAAATTATATTCTTTAGAAATTGAAAACCAATAGTGCTTTTCTGAAATTACTTTGAATTGAAAATTGAGCAGCTATAATTTACTTTGACGAACGCGGAATCTGCTACTGCCGAAACTTCTAAATTGGCAAATCAACACTTGTCTTATCACTTGATGATGGTTTAGCAAAGATGAAACAAGTTGAAATCGTACATGATCCTTAGTCTACATTATTGTTTTATTAAACTTAAAAATAAATGAAAATGCTGATAGAGGAAACTATAGCTTTATTACGTAAAAAAGCGTCATGCAATTTAAATTTTTGATTAATTTTCCAAAATATATAAAGTGGCTGTGTATGTAAATCAAATAGCGATCAAAATTTCAATAAGATCGAAATGTTTTAAGAAATACACAAAATTGTATGTTTACATTTAGACCATTTGTGAAAATAGAAGCTCTCCAATTTTTACAATGAAAAAGCTAACAAAATAGAAATTGTTCATTTTTTTGATCTTGTAAAAAGTATACAAGCTTCAGTCTTCGTATTGACCATTAATACTTGTGCAACGTTCACTATAAAAATCTCACTTGAAATAAAATTTGTTTATGTAAACTGTGCTAACACATTACTTCAACGCCCGTGTCCCTTTTTGTATCCCTGGCATTTGTGTTGGTCATTGTGAATTAGTGTGCTCTGCCTCACCTGGCATTTGTGTTGGATTTTATTCATGCGAAAAATTTGATTAAATACATGTATAAATGCTTACGCAAAGTTGTCAAATCAATCTTGGTTTTCCAGGGTTTGAACTTTGCCGTGTTAGCAGATGCTGCTTGGGGAGCATACATGAGAACCATTCTTATAGATCCTGATGATCCTGCGGTTCAAAGGATTGCACAGAGAAGAAAAGAAAGGCGAGGAACGAGCGTTAGTGAAACTGCAAAAGCGTCACCTTTGAGAGCAACTAACCCTATTGCACCTCTTAGCCAATATGCAATAGACAATTTGAATGCTATGAAGCTTGCTGATACTGTCACTAGTGATCCACACAAGACCGGATATGTTCCTTACCCAGCAGGAGGATTGAGCTATCGTAATGGTACTATGAAAGAGTTTGTGAGGCTTGCCGCACCAGAGGTTTTTCACAGCGCTGATGATCTCTCTGTTGGAGTAAATGGCCTGGAAGGATCAAAACCTGGTGCTGCAGGTGCAGGAGTACTACTTTCACATCAGGTATGTTCGCTGGATAGTAACATGTACCATATACAGTACATTTGTTCCAATAACTGTCAGGTTGTTTTATGTTAGACAAACAAGTTGACATAAAAAGGCTAATCAAAAAACAAAATGACGTTGGAAACTTAGCCACATACGTTTAACTAATACGAAAAATGAGCAAATAATTATTCACATTTTCTTTTGATTTATACAGCGGCACAATATGAATAGACACTAAACCTAGAGAATAAATCGATGTATGATTTTTATTGGTGCACAGAATCCTTGCTGCACTAGTGTGCAAAGACGAAGGAAGATTGATGACTGAAGGAGGCTAATATTACAATTACATATACGCTTTCGACTGTATTTTTTTATTATTATATGACAAGCGTCACTTCCAGCCAAATGACGCTCTATGATTGGCTCAAAACGTTTTGCCGGTCCATTATTTTCCCGTAATCAACCACGGTCCAAAACGCATAATTTTACAGTCAAATGTAAACAAACTTCTTAAAGCAAACAGCAAAACGCAAGAAAAATAAAACAAAAAACCATTTACGAATGTGATTCGAAGGAAAAACACTTAGAAAACAGTTTAACTATCCAGACGATACATTTTGAAACGATTTTTTTTATGGACGAAAACTAGAAAAGTGAAAGCCAACTGGTAAAAAACAGCAAAGACGAGAAAGAAAGCAAGCTACGTTTCAGGTCAAATAATGCCATATAATAAAAATTTTAATAACCTCGCTTTCTCGGTTTTTACAATGAAATATCGGACTTCTGTCTTTTTTTACAAACCTTGCCCTACGGGCTCTGTCTGTACAAAAAGACCTCGGTCCGATAATTCTTCGTAAAGGCCTCGAGCTCGGTTATTAAGGGCTTATCAGTGGATTTTGGCCTGGATTAATAATGTTTTCTGGACTAATATTATACATTTTGACCCATCAAATGGTTTTATGTATATAATTTTGCAAAATGTCGAACTCACGATGAACAAAAGATGTGTTGTATAATTATCTTGTAATTATCCATTGTGTGTTTAAAGGTTATTGGCTTGGATATGTATGGATATGGTCGCATACTGGGTCAGTGTGTCTACAGTTCAAAGATATATTACTGCTTGTGGCTGCATCTTTCAAAACCCACCGATCCTTTTGTTATTAAACCATACACTCGATGCAGCGAAGAAGACAAGATCGCTATTAAAAATGAAATAATTGGAAAGACCGACAAGGAAATCAGTAAGGTATCGTAGTTATTAAAGGTCTCTACGTACAAGGCTAGAAAAATTTCATAAAAAGTTTGGTTGCAAGGGAGGGGAATGTTTTACGTTTACGTTGCTACCGTTTATTATTTGTGTAAGTGCATGCACAGATTCTCTTAGAGCACGTTCACTGTAAAGTAAAACGAAGAGCTCGTGATAATTCAATCCCTTGATTCCCATGTAATGTGGGTTTTATCGTGTTCCATTCTTTCGTCTTTTTCTCTTCAACTAGTTATGCTTCTGCTGTCATTAGCTACAATAAAATTAAAAAACCAACACAAATACAGGGGAGATTAGGGGAAAGTGGACGGAATTCGTAATTGCAACAAGTTTTTTCATTTTATTTACGGGAAAGAACGTGAATGAACGCCGTGTATGTTATTTCAAAATTTGCTTACACGTATGGTGTGTGTATAAAAATAAAAATATTGGTGCTAAATTGGTTATTTCGTATTTATTAACTGTCGTCATTGCCAGTATATGCTGTAATTACGAATATCTCTGATAAATAATTACGGAACATTCTGAAATTGCACGATTTATTCAATTATTTGTGGTTATGCTTATGATATCCTTCTTCAACATTTCTTGTTTTTCTTTGTTTACAACAATTGTCTTAACAAGTACTAAATGAAGGCAAAACAAGCTCGTCACCAGTCTACTTTCCTGAAGTTTCAATAACAGCGATGTGTACGAGAAATCGGATAAACTATGCTAAAATAGAAAGTTTTGTTTACATTTTATTTTATTTTATGACTTAGAAGTACGAAGAATTGTCTTAAATTTGAAGATTTAAGAATTAAATTAAGATACCAAAACGATGAAAGTGTATAGCACAGATAGAATCGTGTGTGAGCGTTGCTACCGTTACATAAAAAGCATTTTATTTTTTTCAAGAACCCAGTTGCAATGGATTTGTTAAACCGAAATGGACCGGATTGCATGATCAACAAATTTGCAGTAAATTTCAAGATAATGCAAAGCGGCTCTTCTGAACTAGTTTTGAATCCTGACGTTGACATGTCAACAGAATATTCCAAAAAGATTGGCAGGTATGATGGTGATCAAAATTTGGTTGTAATAAATGCTTTTTGTATCATTTTTAAAATCATTGTTAACTTTTTTAATAATTACATCGGATCTTTCGTTGAAGTGTCTTATTCGTAACAGAGAAGTGAAAATTGCAACAACAACTTGTGTTAATGAATTCCTAAATGAAAAGTGAACAGAATTATAACTAAGGAAAATCAAGCAACTGCCAAAAATGCCAGAAAATTTTTTTATCGATTTCTTACGAACGCATCATTTCTTTGTATTAAGTTACAGTTTATTTTCATAACAATGTTATTGCTTGTGAACTTTAAAACAATCATCAGGCCATTAGAAATTTATAATGTTTAATGACATGTTAATATGTTCAGGAATGATTGGTCTCGTCTAATGACGTGTTTAATGTGTTTGCACATATGCATGCTTACAGTGGGCCGTGGCGGATCTAGGAATTAAAAACTATTAATTAGAGTGTTTTTCTGAAAGTACTTGTATTTAAACTTGAGCAGTCATAATTTATTTTGTCTTTGAGAGAGACCTTTGGGAGAACATAAGAGCAGTGTAAGCAATAGATGAAGGTCGGCGGTCGAACCTGCTCGAGAATTCTCACAAACGTCTCAGTGACTTGCCTAAGCAAGCGGAAATACAAAAGCAATTTGTTATTTCTTTTATGAAATCACAGTAATGCGAAACAGGTAAATTTAAAACAAAAGTTTAATTTTTCCTCCAACATTTATTCATAATTGATTTACAAATTCGTTTTGAGTGATTTAATTGATTGTGTTCAGATCGATTTGCACAGGCTTGTGAAACTCCGCTGTAGACCAATCAGCTCACGTATTTTATTGCAGTTATTGTATAATTTGACATGTACACCAGATACCCTGCTGTGCGCATGTGCGACTAACTTTTGAACGTGTTTTTGACAGATTGCTTTCAGTAAATGCTGGTAAAGACAACCATAGAGTTCCATTGGTAATATTCCAGTCTCTCATGGAACCAGAAACATTTGGCCCTGCTTTGGTAGAGTTTGAGAAAGAAGAACTTGGTGTAAGTTTAATTAAGTTGTAAAAATTTGAATGAAACACCTTGTCGTTTCCTTTGTCGAAAATTTTTTGGCAAACATATTTTTTCGTAAATGCTTTCTTCTAATATAAAATGCCATTAAAAGGCATAAATTTCTGAGAAATTTGCAAACACCAATCCCATATAGCCCATAGATAAAAGACGTCAACTTCAGAGCATGCAGACAGTTCTATTTATTTTTGTGGGATTAAAAACACTGTTGCTACGTGTTTTTCCAAAAATTTATTTTAGTTTGTAACTATGAGAATACTTGGAAAGTAAAAGTTATTTTAAACAATGTTTTCCTATGAATATTCAGCAAAAATTTAAGAACTACTATATTTTTACAGTTCCGAAAATAGCAGCATCACATTAAACATATGTTGTTTTATCTTTCCAGCTTACACAGAACAATGAAAGTCAATTTGGGTGCATGGTCAATACTGTTATGAACCCATGGCAAGCAAGTGGAAACTTTGTTTGGGAAGCTGGTGAAATTTATCGTGAATGTTGTCTTCTTGCTTATGGATGGGTAAGTTATTGTTGCGTTAATTTCGAAAAACAAACCAAATTTTGTTTGGTCCATAAAAACGATCCTGAGTATTAGTAAATAATTACGTAGCTATAGTCATTTAAATTCTGTACAGTACTAGGGCCACCCGGAAAAATTTCTGAAGCGTGGGGCAAATTTATTAACTCTTATTCTAATTGTTGTACTGTAACACTGCATTTTTTTCAATGTTACAAGAAAATGAATGTCTTACTTATTTAATTGTAAAAGTCATATAGACGTTGAATAATTCTTGAAATGTGAAATGTGAGCGAACTTTTATAGTTACGTCTTACGATGAAAAGCTTATCCGAAAGAAAACAAGATTGAGAGATTGGGCTAGCACGTATAATTAGTAGTGTAGCCAGCCCGACTTTTTACTCGCGTTATATACATATATGTGAATGTGTTCACTGACTGTAAGAAAAAAATTTTCTAAAGAAATGAATAATATGGTAATATACATAGTTGGAGTAAATTAGCGAATACTGCAAATAAAAACCTTCAAAATTATTGAATCTACATACATTTTTTTAGCAAAACGATCCTGTATCTAGGCATAAATTTTACTGTGGAGATTTGCAGCACAGCATTGAAAACGGATGGTTCTTTTATGCAAACTATGTTGGTCAATTGAATGTTGTTGGTCATCAATATGAATGCGTGACGAAATTTGGCATCAGTGACTCAGATTATGACATAATGAGACCATACATTGCCAACGGTGATTTGTTTGTAATAGACAAAGATGCAAATGAAAGAGTTCTGTATCAGCTACTTTTAGATGCTGAAGGAGGTAAGAATGTCAATAGTGAAAAGAAATTATCTGTTTACTATTAGCATTTTTATTTATAATTGATGCAACATAACAACGTGGTCGCTTTGACGTCACATAAAACCTTCCTTGATAAGCCTTCATCAACTAGGAAGCTCTGTTATGTAGTGGAAGCTATCTTTGCTACACTTTGAAATTGATTTTGGAATGAGTGAACGGGTTTGAGAATAAAGTGGCGCTTCATTTTCATACGTCTGAACTGGGCATTGTGACTATTCGACTGAACTGTCCCTATTTTTACACAATTTTTACGATGTCGTTGGACTAAGACTGCTTGTCGTGTTTTCTAAATATTTGTTGGATTGGAAAATCCTGGGCAAATTGTGCGTATCAACTTTTTTTTGATGATTGTTGGAATTGTGTTTTTTTGCTTGTAACTAATAAATTCTAGTTACGGAAAACTATTGTTATGTTTTAAGGATTTAGTGGTTTAGCAGAGATACTACATAATCAATCAAATCATCAATATTTACAATAAATTTTAAACGACCAAATATTTTTAAGGTTTGCCCTTCGAGCTGCAAACGGCTAACAAGGAGATTGTGACACTCAGAGTGTTGGACATGCCACGTGTTAATCATTTCCCAACACCCTCGGACCCAGATCTTAAATATCCAGATCATCACGAGTATTTCATGTATGGCGAAGATGGGAATATTTACATTTCTCACATTATCACCAAACATCCAGATTTTCAACAGGTATTATTTTATCCATTCTTAAATAATCTAAAATAGCTGATACATATAACTAAAATTATTTTCTTAAGTGACAATAGCGTTCAGTTCATAAAGTATATAAACTCATTTACTTCTGGCAATGCATCGTTAAAAATACATATGGCTGTGTTGCACTAATAATTCAAGTAATTCAAAGTGTACCACAAAATGAGTGACATTCAATTAGAAGTTCTCTCCGTGGCATTTGAGCTCAATTTTAAATTTACCATCAGCACAAAGAAAGCTCAGTTCCTTTTAAATGTAAATCTTGTTAACTTGTGCTCTTAGGAACATAAAGCAGAATCCTTTTAGCACTCGTGTGTTGTGAAACCTTCTTCCCCATGAAACCTCTGAGAATTTTTATCGTGAGAATAATTAATATAGGTGGTGAAGGTTGTCAACACTCCAATGAGTGGTGAGAAAGATGATTGGCTGCTTTGGTATGGCTTCCCAGTTACGTTCACTGAACTTCCAGTAGACCAGGCAAACACCTCAAAAAATCCGCTGACCAAAACTGATTTTACCTATCATATCAAGTTCATCGGTGAAAAACACAGAAGCCGCGAAATGGATATCATTTTGAAAGATAACACGGGATGGTTCGATAATACAATTTTGAACGCAAGTGCTTAGATAAATAAACTTTTCTCTTTTATTTCTTATATTAAATTACCTTTAGAGTAATGAGACATTAGATGTGCTGAAATGGATTCGCGTAAACTTTTTGTACTAGGGTATTGGTAGCTTGATATATTTACTACTTTAATTTTGTATCGGAAGAGAACAATTAAATGCATTTGAGGAAACTTTACATTCCACAGAGTATGGTCTACTTAAGAAAACTGAAGTCTAGTACGTAGTAAACGTGAGTGAGATCTGAAAAATAACGCTGCAAAGTTTCAAACATCCTTTAGTTTCAAGGCAACTTTTGTTGAAATGATCGGGCAATTTTTTAAACCATTAATTCTTCACAACGAAGCGAACTCTGTTTGGTTAAAGTAACATCTCAGCAAATATACCTGCTCTTTTAAATTTCATTATGCAACGTGACGTCACAAGTTGTGTCAAGGAGACATTACATGAACTACAATATTTTGAGAATGAAAAGTGATAAGAATAAATTGTTTTTGAAAATACTCTCTCATTTTCAAAGTGTTCAAGTTTGTGAGGTATGATACAACATGGAATCGTGTTTTTATTGTCAGTTTTGCTAGAGCTACAAAATCTGGTCAAGTCCATTAAAGTCATCGCGGCCTCATTTCGTGTGTTTATTCATTGGAAAAAAATTTGACACGCAAAGACTGCTTTTAATGGTGAACAAATTTCAATGAAATAAATACAACGTTGCTTAATGTATGATTTTGCAAATCCTTTGATAGATATTTTAAAACGCCATTTACCATAAAACTTTGACACATACAATCTTCAACTAAAAATAAATCATCCAGAGTCAAGCTTTTCGAGAAAAAGCAATTAACAGCTAAACACTTGGCAAGATATACGACAAACAATCACTGTAAACGCTACACAGAGTTAAATAGTCTTTGATTTTAAAAATTTAGTGAAATTTAATACCAACTTATGCCTTTACGGTAGCTGGAGGCTTAAAGTCGAACGAACACATTGTTACGATGAGCTCCGACCAATAGCGATTAAGATCACAGAAACACCGAGACACAATACACCAGCGACCTGAATATTCGATGCACCGCGGACAGTCGCCATTGCATACTCTTTGATTGCCGTCTAAATATAAATGAAAGTCATTAATATAATAACACACTAGAGGAAGATATTTAGCAAAAGATCGTTCCTGAATGCATGTCATAAATACATTGTAAATTGTTCCATTTGTCAACGCCATGCATACCTACATTGATCTTAACTTTTTCCGTTTTCGTATAAGTTACAGACAGAGCCCTGTGTTCATAAGAGTTGTGACACGTATTGTTCTTCGAATTTGGCATTATGATTAAGTTGATTCGGTAGATATGGTCACATGGACATCTAGCCGCCATTTTTGTTCCAAAAGCGCAAATTATAACCATTTTTTACTTAGAGACAAATTATATAAAAAATGATTTCAATGATTTTATGTTGCGTTATAATAGTGCCGATCAAAGCGACGAAGAATAGGAACATACTCGCAAAAACGATATTAAAGGCGTATAAATTACATCCACTGCATTAAATAAATGCTTTTCTATTATTAAGACATCAATAAACTACTGAAAGCAGAGATCGTTGTCTATTCATGAATAAGAAAACACAACAATAAAATTTTTTATTTCCACCAAGTAATGCTTTATATTTGTTGGCTTTTGGAACAAAAATGGAGGACTCTAGGCAATTTTACTTCCGGTGTCCCAACTCGTACGTAAGACTGCAGAATTTGACTGCGATCACACTGATCCGTTTTAAATTCCATTGCAGTTTTGCGGGTGTTTACACATATCTCTTGCTGTCAAAATTCGTTAGTTGTTTGTGAAAGAATGACGCCATTTCTCGTTTACACATCTCTACATGTTTATATCTCTAGCCAAAGATCATAAAAAACATTGATTTGTACAAATTACAACGGAATTATCGTTAAAAAGTGTGACAAGTGTGCACAATAAGCCGATATTTACATTTTATTGCAATGACTTCATCGATAGTTATAAATTCCGATAATAAAATTTACAAACTCGAAAAATTATCACTACCACTAAATAGACAAGCATGAGAGATGTAAAGAGTGTATTACATCGTTTACTTTTAATAACTCGTTAACGAAATAACGACGAATGCTTTTTACAAGGATGCTGACTCAGCATTTCAAGGTCTTGTCTTTTACCACAGGCAGACCTACCAATCCTCTGGTTTTATCATACATCATCTTAATTTTAAAAAATCTCCCGATAACCAGATTTGAAACCATTTTTAACCGATTTTATAGCATAATAGTTAAGATAATCTTACAGAACAGAAGTTATTTTACTTAAGAAATAAAAGATGTTTACTGTGTTTGCACGGGCTTATGCAAACCGAGGAGACCTTTGGGAAAACTCGAGAGCAGCTCAGTGCAAGCCCAAGACTGAAGGTCGAGCGTTGCACATGCTCGAGAGTTATCACAAACGTCTCCGAGGTTTGTATAAGCTCAAAATGTATTCATGATCGATTTGCAAATTCGCTTTGACTGATTGATTGTTTTGATTGATTTGATTGGTTGAGCTCAGATGTTTTTTGCACAGGCTAATGCAAACACAGCTCTAGACCAATCAGCGCACACGTTTCATTGTGTTTATTTTATAATTTGTAGTAAAATCGGACGAAAATGATTGCAAATCTGGTCATCGGAAGATTTTGTCTAAAATTAAGATGAAATCTGATAAAACCGATGGGATTGGCAGGTCTGCCTGTGGTAAAAGACAAGACATTAAAATGCTGAGTCAGCGTCCTTATAAAACCCATTCGTCGTTACTTCGTTAAGGAGTGATTGAAGTGTAAACGATGTAACACACTTTTTTACTACTTTCATGCCTGTCTATCTAGTGGTAGTGAGAATTTTTCGAGTTTGCAAATTTTTATTTTCTATAACTATCGATGACGTCACGACCAAAAAACGTAAATTTCTGTTTATTGTGCACACTTATTGCTCGGGGCCAGGTTGACTACTTTTGTTTACATTATTCTCTATACGACCGTATGAAAGAAATTATTAGTTTCTAGATGTGTGAAACGAAAGTCGATTTTTAAGCACATTTTAACCTTCTGGAACGCGGCCTAAAATCTTAACAGATGCCTGAACGAATGGTTTTGATGGTAACCTTTTTATGAATGTCAAGTGATTTAGCAATTGTCAAAAGAAGAGTACAGCAATAATTGTAAAAAGTTTCGTTTCTATACAATAAATTATTTAAATGGCCCGATTTATACTAGAGACAAAGATTACCCGTCTGGACGAACTTGAGCAAGCTAAACATAGTTTGTCTTCAAGTTCGTCTGTGTGCAAACACACGCATCATCCATCTGCGAGTATAAATAGGGAATGTGGACGAACTATTGTACTTCGTGACTCGCTCCTAAATCCCCAAAATGCTAAATTCGTTTATATATAGTTCAAGTAGATAATTCGTCTTCTGTTTATACTCAGACGGATCATTCGTCCAGACGGACACCCTTCTGTAGTATAAAAAAAGCGAATGACTTCCAACTAAGCCAAACAAACATCTTTTCAATTCAAAAAAAACAACATGGCAACTGATGTAAGTACAACAAGAAAACACAATTGAAATCGTTTGAAATTCAAAAACAAGAATTACAAAAGAATGCAAAGAATAAAAACAAAACATCAAATGCTGTTTTGGGGTTAATGTTCTAGTGCGCGCTTAAGCCTGGTTTCCGCTATTGGTTTATCACGATAAAAAATTGTTGATACTTTATCGCGATTGTTAGTCGCCGTTTATTGCGATTATTACCACGTTCTCATATGGGATTATTGCGATTAAAGTCAATCGCTGTCGCGTTTGTCGCGTTAAACCAATAGTGCAAACTAGGCTTTAAGGTTGATGTTTTCATACGGGAGCTTTCGGGCACTTTCGTGGTATAAGCATCCGATGCGTATTCAGTAGAGGTTTTGTTTCGTTTATTGACTTTTGTGATCATATTTATTTATAGGAAGCATTTATGGTTGAAAGTTTGACTGTTGCTACGATATTCATGCCGTATTTATATGCTGTACTTATGTAGTCAAATCAAACATATTATAGCCGCCATTTTCGGGGTCCCTTAAAATGGCCATCAAAGCGCGCAAAAAATGACCGCGTATGAAGGCTTTTTTGAAGCGACGAGTTACGAAACGAGACAGAGTTATTAAGAGGTACAGTAAAGAAATATCTCATAGTATATTATCATTAAGTAATGGTATAATTACTTGTTTGTAAATGTAGATCGTCCAGGTTGGTATAGTCCTGAGAAGGACTGTTTTTGTTGTTGTTGACTGACGTTTCGACAACCTTAGCGGTAGTCATCTTCAGCGTCAAATGAGGAGTAAACGTCAGGTTAGCCATATTTGTTATTTGGTTCTTACGTTATTGTATTGTGTGTACAGGAAATGTGTATTGTCATTGTGAATTAGTGTGAAGTGAAATGTTTTTAGTTGTGATGTGGTATAATTACTTGTGCAGTTAAGGCTAAACATGCACTCGTGACTTTTTAAACACTGCAAAAAGCGGAAGGCTTTCAAAATTTCGCTGTTGACTTCAAAAAATTCAGTTGTGCATGTTTATTCGTAATTGCACTCAAAACTATACTATTAAAAACACTAATATTTATATTAAATTATATTAAATAATAATTATAATACTAATATTATGAGCATAAAATTAATTAATAACATTAATTAAACTTTCAATACAACGTACTCATCGCCAAGAATGGCACACCACGAGAAATTATTCAACATTTTACTATTGCCGGATTTTACACTAAGTTTTGAATTGACCAGATAGTAAACTAAACGAAGCAAACTTAAGATTGAATTCTGTACTCACCCATCCTCCATGTTCAGCAATCCAGTTAACCAATTTTTCTTTAACAAACCTCACAACCCAGTCAACAACCAACTTGAGCAAAGGTAACTGGCTGGCAACAGATGACGCCAATTTAAATCCAAAGTACAACAGCGTTACAACACGTCCCCAGTTGTACACGCCGTCGGAAAATATCAGCTTTGCAACGTCCGCAAACGTATCAAACGCAGTTTGTGGCGTGACTCTAATTTTACCAATCAATTCATTAAGGCTAAAATTTCTTTCAAGGTCATCTCCAACCTGTTTAATAAAATGTCCTTTGATCATGAAGAAAATAAAAACTATGAAAAGCGATGCGATGAAATAGAAAACAACATAATCCTCAATGATAAAGGGCAACATGTCAAAACTACTTGTATAGTGTATAACATTTGCACACCCTGTTTATGCATGTCGGGTGCCATTGAACAGCACAACACAATAGGGTTCAACTTATTCTTTGACCAATGGTCACCAAAGCGTACCTCAACATTATTTAGCGCGTTTGAAGAGCACACTCAACAATGCGGATTTAAAGCATGCGCACCATGTAGTGTATATTGTTGTAAAAGTGGAGTCGGAAGTTGTACAGTACCGCTCGCGTATTTGTAAACATACGGTACGCGTATGAAACGCGTGTGATACGAAAAACATACGCGTATCATACGAGAACGATACGCGTATGATACGAGAACAATACCCGTATGATACGAAAAGGATACATGTATGATACGAGAACGATACGCGTATGATACGAGAATGATACGCGTATGATACGAGAACAATACGCGTATGATACGAGAACGATACGCGTATGATACGAGAACGATAAGCGTATGATACGAGAACGATACGCGTATGATACGAGAACGATACGCGTATGATACGAGAACAATACGCGTATGATACGAGAACGATACGCGTATGATACGAGAACAATACGCGTATGATACGAGAACCATACGCGTATGATACGAGAATGATACGCGTATGATACGAGAACAATACGCGTATGATACGAGAACAATACGCGTATGATACGAGAACCATACGCGTATGATACGAGAATGATACGCATATGATACGAGAACAATACGCGTATGATACGAGAACAATACGCGTATGATACGAGAACAATACGCGTATGATACGAGAACAATACGCGTATGATACGAGAACAATACGCGTATGATACGAGAACAATACGCGTATGATACGAGAACAATACGCGTATGATACGAGAACAATACGCGTATGATACGAGAACAATACGCGTATGATACGAGAACGATACGCGTATGATTCGAGAATGATACGCGTATGATACGAGAACAATACCCGTATGATACGAAAAGGATACATGTATGATACGAGAACGATACGCGTATGATACGAGAGCGATACGCGTATGATACGAGAACGATACGCGTATGATACGATACGATGAACGATGATACGCGATGAACGATACGCGTATGATACGAGAACAATACGCGTATGATACGAGAACGATACGCGTATGATACGAGAACGATACGCGTATGATACGAGAACGATACGCGTATGATACGAGAACAATACGCGTATGATACGAGAACCATACGCGTATGATACGAGAATGATACGCGTATGATACGAGAACCATACGCGTATGATACGAGAACAATACGCGTATGATACGAGAACCATACGCGTATGATACGAGAATGATACGCGTATGATACGAGAACAATACGCGTATGATACGAGAACGATACGCGTATGATACGAGAACGATACGCGTATGATACGAGAACAATACGCGTATGATACGAGAACAATACGCGTATGATACGAGAACAATACGCGTATGATACGAGAACAATACGCGTATGATACGAGAACAATACGCGTATGATACGAGAACGATACGCGTATGATTCGAGAATGATACGCGTATGATACGAGAACCATACGCGTATGATACGAGAACGATACGCGTATGATACGAGAATGATACGCGTATGATACGAGAATGATACGCGTATGATACGAGAACCATACGCGTATGATACGAGAATGATACGCGTATGATACGAGAATGATACGCGTATGATACGAGAATGATACGCGTATGATACGAGAATGATACGCGTATGATACGAGAACCATACGCGTATGATACGAGAACAATACGCGTATGATACGAGAATGATACGCGTATGATACGAGAACAATACGCGTATGATACGAGAACGATACGCGTATGATACGAGAACAATACGCGTATGATACGAGAACAATACGCGTATGATACGAGAACAATACGCGTATGATACGAGAACAATACGCGTATGATACGAGAACAATACGCGTATGATACGAGAACAATACGCGTATGATACGAGAACAATACGCGTATGATACGAGAACGATACGCGTATGATACGAGAACAATACGCGTATGATACGAGAACAATACGCGTATGATACGAGAACGATACGCGTATGATACGAGAACGATACGCGTATGATACGAGAACAATACGCGTATGATACGAGAACGATACGCGTATGATACGAGAACAATACGCGTATGATACGAGAACAATACGCGTATGATACGAGAACAATACGCGTATGATACGAGAACAATACGCGTATGATACGAGAACAATACGCGTATGATACGAGAACAATACGCGTATGATACGAGAACGATACGCGTATGATACGAGAACAATACGCGTATGATACGAGAACGATACGCGTATGATACGAGAACAATACGCGTATGATACGAGAACGATACGCGTATGATACGAGAACGATACGCGTATGATACGAGAACGATACGCGTATGATACGAGAGCGATACGCGTATGATACGAGAACGATACGTGTATGATACGAGAACGATACGCGTATGATACGAGAACGATACGCGTATGATACAAGAACGATACGCGTATGATACGAGAACAATATGCGTATGATACGAGAACAATACGCGTATGATACGAGAACGATACGCGTATGATACGAGAACGATACGCAAAATTATGTTAACAAATACGCGAGCGGTACTGTAATAGAGGTTGAATTTTTGCTGGTCACTTAAACGTGTGTACATAGGCAGTTGATATTTTATCTCATGCTAAAATCAAGGCTAAACATTTTGATCACGTTGTACACCTCGCTTAACTTCACTCTACTGTTTTGCAAATAGAAAAAAAAACGACTGCACATACGCTCTTTAATTGACGTATCCCAAAAAAGCAAACATTATTATTAAAAAGAAAGTTCATTACATTTTAGGAGATCTCTAACAACAATAAACAATTACGTGACAAAGGGATTTTAAGGGAATTAGTTTACATTTTGCCGAATAATTGCCTTTATTCGATCACCGTTCATCATTGAAGAGTAAAATTAATCTTGTTTAGGTATGTAATTAATACAAGTCATAAGTATGTTGATTTATAGATCAAATGAAAACTGTTTTCGAATAACTCACTTTTTCAGGTTTCGTCCATAAAGAATAAACCCTGAGAAGGATTGTTTTTGTTGTTGTTGACTGACGTTTCGACAACCTTAGCTGTAGTCATCTTCAGAGTAATTTTTTTGACCGCTAAGGTTGTCGACTTCATTTGACTCTGAAGATGACTACCGCTAAGGTTGACGAAACGTCAGTCAACAACAACAAAAACAGTCCTTCTCAGGACTTTATTAACCTGGACGATCATCATTTACAAACATATAACGATACTCCCAGGTTCAAACCATTTACTTTAAAGAATAAACCGTTTCAAATTGTATCGTTTGGACAGTTAAGCTGTTTTACAAGTGCTTTTCCTTTGACTCACATTCGTAAAGGTTTTTTGTTTCGTTTATTTTGCGTTTTGCTGTGTGCATTACGAAGTTTGTTTACATTTTACTGTAAAATTACGCGTTTTGACCGTGATCGACTACGGGAAAATAAATGACCGGCAAAAATGTTTCTAAGCCAATCAAAACGCGCCATTTAGCCGGAAGTGACGCTTGCTATATAACATCATGAAATAATCGTGGCCAGAGATTCTTTCCCATATAAGAAATACATCTCACTCTGCCGATTTTAATGACTTCACAATTCTCTCTTCCTCCTACGACAATTATGACCTTATGATTCATGAAAGCCTTCTTATATCCAAACTTAAACCTCTCTTAACACCCAAGGCAACTCAATCCCCCTTCACCTTCTTTAATATACCGCCATTCTCACTTAATTTCGTCAACTAAGCTTCCTACTCCCCTCACATGTAATTTGACAGCCTGAAATATATTCTTGTATTTAAAACCTCATGTATATAATTTATCTCAAATAATCTGAAGATGTCTTAAGTTAACGACGAAACGTTATTAATAAATCTTTCTTTATTTTACTATTGTGATGGCTTTTTTAAAAGTCTTATGTTGGGCTATTATGTTCATATTGAAAATTATGAAATAATCATGTAATAATACTGTATTTGAATTAGTTTTATCAATACACTTCATAACATGGCCGTAAAATGTTACATGCCCGAAAATTCTCACTTATTTTAAAAGATTGTCACAAATGTGAGAAAGCACTACCACTACACTTTAAAAATAATTTTAAAGATAGCAATTGTCATGGTGTCAGTGGCAACACCAGAACGATAATTAAGGGGAGATATTCATATATGCAAGGTATGCCGTAACAAGTTCAATAAAAATCTCTTGTTTACAGCGCATTATCGCATGCATTTATGAATAACTGCCCTACCCACTACATTTATCATTCTGGCGACGCTAATGCATGGTGGATGGTCAAAATAACCTAAGAAACCTAAAAAGAAATGTTTTACAACCAAAACGTTGACCCAATAGTAATAAAAATATGGTTACATGATGTGTTCAAGTTGTAAAACAGTTCTTAAAACTATTTCGTTGGTATTTTGGTTAAAAAAATAGCTCTTTGTAAAATTTTAGGTAATTTTGGCCATCAACTTTTATTTCGCTAAACTTTAGTTTTCCCAGTATTTTAAACCAATGATTAAATTACAAACCTGTCGTAAACATGAAGCAACTTCATCATTAACTTTGGCATTTCTCATTTCTAGCGGTACAACATGTCCTTGAGCTTGAACATGATTCGCAATAAAAAATGTAACAATGTCCGGTGTTTCTGACACTACTTCGTCAGTACTGATTTGTCTTCGATTTAAAATCTGACGTTGAACACCACCATCGGGCACATCCATGTTTTAGAGAAACTAAAAAAACAATGATATAAAGAACATAAACTTTAAAGTTTAGATTGTACAACGCAGGATGAAAGAAATGTGTAAACTTAAAATCACTGCAGTTGCACGATATAAGTATATAAGAAGTTTTTTATAACTACGTACGAGGGTAGAGCGAGCACTCAGGACATTTAATGACAGCATGGGCGTAGAAAGCACAGCGGCAGGGGGAGGCTTGATACCCCCTAACTATTAGAAGCTGAGACATGAGTCCCTCTAAATGTTAACTACGAGCCAAATTAAATTTTATGGACTTCACATTAGATTTATAATAGCATTTTTTGTCAACCATTTCCAACGCATTCTTCACTGAGGATGAATTAAGAACTAACAAGATTTTAATATTTCATGATTCTAATATTTTGTTCAAAAACTTAAGATAAAACCTCTAAGTAGTAATTACAGAGAAAATTCATGTAAGAAGTTAAAATTATAAATCTTCAAAGACTTGCATCTTTGGCGATCACTGTTTAGCCAACCTGACTTCAAACATGTTCCTACCCCTGCAAGACTGACAAATTGCTCCATAGAGCATTTTGCATACAGCAGCGTGTGTTTATAAAAACTACCATGTAACACAATCCAAAATCCAAAAACAGTCTCACAATTTACTGAAGCTCCATATCTCAGTCCTTTCATGAGAGGAAAGGCCCATTCCACAAAAATTTATCACTATTCGGACCAGCCCAGAGCTTACTGGGGAAAATAGTCCCAGTAGTTTTATGATAAAAATTGCCATGGATAAAAAATCAGACAAAAGCAAAAATATTGTATTGGCAATAAATGAAAATCATTCAGCTGATTTTGTTTACCAAAGAAATTCTTTATTGGTGAATACTCTCTAGCTCACAAAATTTCTAAGGTATGACCAGTGGGATAATATACACAATTTTATAGAAGACTTGGTCAAATGACCTAAAACACTCCCCTATTTTAAGCTCGCTGCTTGTCACACCAAATCTAGACGAAAATTGTAAGAATAGCCACAACAGTTATGAGTGGGTCTAAATTCAAAACATAAGCTGTATTTTGAAAGGACATAACAATGAATCTTATTTTTGTTCATTTTCATACATGTGTATTTTCAAAATTTTTTCTCAAAATTTAAATGACATTCTGTCAATTTTAACAAGTTTTTCTTCTTACAAAATTCGAAATGTTGAGAGAAACTTCTTAACAGTAAATGTTGAGAGAAACGTCCTAACAGTAATAACTAATTCATAACAATGTGCCTACGAAATTAAGTACTGTGAAGTATTTTTGAAAATCTTAGGAGAAAATAAGTGCCCATAGCAATGCATTAAGACAACTCAGCCACATATCACAAAGAACCATGTCAAAAATACTACAATTAAAACCTCTTCAATGGGCTAAAATCAATTCTTAACAATTAAGACTGGTATTCTGTAACTATATTTCAATAAACAATATGTAATAATAAATAGTTGTAATTGCTAAATAAAAAATATTGATGATCAAACAAGTCAATGTATTGAATTGTTAAAATTTATTAAATACTGCATAAAGTATATCTTATCTGAAATGAAGCCTAAATCTAAAAAAATAATTTAGCCGGCAAATATCAGTTTTAAATGTATATAACTATAATAAATTATGTAATATATGTAAACTTTCCTTAATATTAAAAATCTATGTAATCTTTCCAAAATTTTTATGACATTTACGAACATTCCAAATTTTGCCAGCAAAAGTTTACCATGTAAGATTGGGCTAAAACATTTTACATTAAAGATAAATTCAACAAGTTCCATGTATGTAAGTACAGTCAAACTTGTATAAAGCTAAAGATAAATTCAACAAGTTCCACATATGTAAGTACAGTCAAACTTGTATAAAGCTAAAGATAAATTCAACAAGTTCCACGAATGTAAGTACAGTCAAACTTGTATAAAGCTAAAGATAAATTCAACAAGTTCCATGTATGTAAGTACAGTCAAACTTGTATAAAGCTAAAGATAAATTCAACAAGTTCCATGTATGTAAGTACAGTCAAACTTGTATAAAGCTAAAGATAAATTCAACAAGTTCCATGTATGTAAGTACAGTCAAACTTCTATAAAGCTAAAGATAAATTCAACAAGTTCCACATATGTAAGTACAGTCAAACTTGTATAAAGCTAAAGATAAATTCAACAAGTTCCACATATGTAAGTACAGTCAAACTTGTATAAAGCTAAAGATAAATTCAACAAGTTCCATGTATGTAAGTACAGTCAAACTTGTATAAAGCGAACCTGTATAGAGTCCCAACTTTCATTTCACACAATTATTTTATCACAATGAACCTACGTATGCATATTAAGCTGACAATTGTCTGTTCACCAAAGTTGCAAGGTTTGGATATATCTCTATTGATAATTAAATATATTCTATTTTATATTCAAGTCGTGCTCGACTTATACTAATGCTTACTTTCGAAAATAATTAAACACAAAAATATGCGAATACAAACAAACAAAAAATACAGTACTTACAACTACAACTTTAATTTACAACTCTGGAAAAGATTCAAAATAAAAAATAGATGTGCCTTTCAAAATCTTGGTTAGATCCAGGGATGGATCAAAGAAGGTTTTTTTGAAAAATTTTTTTTCTTTATTCTTTAATTCAATTAAAGACAATTAAAGACAATTAAAGAAAACTTTTTGAGAAAATCATTAAAACTTTAACAAAATTTCAAACAAATTGTCAAAAAGGAAATATTTATTCCTGAGCTAAAGATTCAATAGTGCTAAAATGCAAATATGAAATATAAATTTTTTACTTTGTTGTGCCACCATCTTGAGACTTTAACGAGTCACTAGGCTCTGTATTCTCATCAAGACAACCTCATATTACTTAGTAAATGCACAAGTGAACCACGGAGAAAATACGCTATTATTTAATATTTTAATGTGACATTGGATAAACACTATTTCAGACGTAAGAGCATAAATAAGGAACATTAAAGACAATTTTTAGTTTTGATTCAAATCTTCTTTAATCATTAAAGAAGATTAAAGAAAAAATGATTAAAGAATAAATGCCATCCCTGGTTAGATCATGTTATTATCTTGGTCGATAGCTTTTGTCAGTTGACACAAAACACACTAAGACCGTGGTTATAAAATATAATCAATAAATAGCTTAGTTGATAAGTCATAAACATATAGGAGGTATAATAATAAATACGATGTTCTATCACGGTTTCTTATGATACAGAAAATGGAACCATACGTATAGGTTTGGCTAATGTCCTTTGTTGTGCTTGAAACATACATTTGACCGTCTTCAATAATGTGGTGTTCAAAAGCAATTGATCAAAAGTTAATACAAAAGTGAATTTTACTTACAGAAAATAATCAAAACACGCTACCAGCACTTCAAAATAAATCACACATCAGAAATAATCGAAAATGGAAAAGATAACGTTCGAATTCAACTTCTGCCTGTCCGAAATACTTGTTGTTGACTCTCATTAGCATAACCAGCAGTGTTTCCTTTTTCAGAAATGCTTTTCTCCGTGCACATTAGCCGCAAATTTCAATGGAGGAGCGAATCAAAAAATAGCAAAAACGCGGGCTGTATGATAATTTCTAACAGCCTCAATTTCTAAATGGGAAGGTTGAAAAGATACGAATCATATAATAGACAGAATTATTTGCATTATTTCAACTTTTTACCTTGTTAAGAACATACAAACGCAAAACTAAGATGAACTATTCAATTTCTCAGCACAATTGATAACACAATGTATTAAAAGTCAATGTATTAAAAATCAATTATGGAAGGGCATTTATTAAAGGGGTCTAATACGACCTCACATTCCAATGTGGCGGCATCAAATGGATTAAAGTTGTTCATTGGCCCATTTACAGTACATCTAATATAACCAATCGTGATTGACCAAGATTTTCCAAAAATAAAAATGGCAGTTTCAGGTTGAAAGTATTTTTAAGACAGCAACAAACTTTTACTTGGAAGCAAAATAGGGGGTGTGAGCCAAATAAGGGGGGCAATCTTATCCATAAAATATGGGAGTAGGCAGGATAGGGGGAGGATGTTAATTAAGGCACGGCAAAGAAAATTATTTATATCTGTCAATTTGAAATTATTTTATGATAAACATGAACAGGGAGGGGGCTGCTTCACCCTAGATATGTCCCATGACTACCATAAATTGCATTTTCCATGATCTAAGAAAATAAACAATTTTTAAAATGGCGTAACTTAAGCTCGTGGATGTCGTGTTTAGAAAAACCAAACTTCTAAGTGCTTTGGTCGTATTTCATCACTGCACAAACAAGAAATTTTTGTAGCTAACAGATAAAAAAAAATTAGCCGTTTTAAATGATTGTTGAGTGAGTGCAACATGGTTGTGCAAGCCTATTGCTTTAGCAGTTTCTGAGGAGTATAAATATTAACCAATTCAATCTGAGGTCAAGGACTTCATGACTAAAATATTAGATGCAATATCTGCTAATTACTGAAAAAACACTCCCCAGCTACGACCCCCCCGATAACTTGGCTCCCAGACCGAGCCAGATCCAAATATCTTTGATGTCTTTTATAAAACAATAAAACAAAAAAATTTTTTGGAGAAATGGTGTTTATTAGTAAAAGAAAAGACTAACATATTGTACTATTAATGAAAGAATACTGTAAACACTACAAGATATCTGTTTGACAAAGCCAATGGGAACACCAAACACACATTTACGCACCACCTAAACAGTAATAACAAAAAATAAACAAATGACGTTTTCTTCAAAAATTTCCATTATTCGGAATGAGAAATCACAGTATCTGTAACAACTTATGTTTTTAATGGATTTTTGTGGAGATTGCATTAAAACATCAATTCCCTTAAAGTTATTTTTATTCAATTACAACTTTTTTACTAAACTGAATTCTTGCTAGGCGCGCTAATAATTATGATCAAGTTTTTTTTATTCAATTTTAAATTAGAAGCAATGATGGAAAACACAGTTTAACCAAAACCTCAATAATATTTTACAAAAATTTGTGGAAAAAGTCTCAAAGATATCTTAACTTCACAGCTTTTTTTTAAATGTAAAATGTATTGTATTTACACCTTAAGCATTAACTTATGTTTATTAATTTTGTGGATGTTTCGCGACTCATGCTAAAATATATAATGTGCAATACAAACAAAAGAAAGAAATAGCAATATGTTATTGGCTTCTTAAAAAATTAAGTATTAAATTCAACAATCGAAACTATTGTCATATAAAAGTTTAATATTGAAATGTATTATTACCTGTTTCATTTCACCCTTTTTTTGGTGGCTTCACGTAAGTGCCTAGACAAACAAATATTGGGTACACTTTTAAACGCATGTTGAAACAAAGCAAATTCCATTCCCCTTTTAGCACAGAAGGAAAATGTTACTGTGTAAGAGGAGATTTGCACCGAAAATCCTTTTTGCTTGCTATATAGTGATAGATAGCCAGGGGCGTAGGCACCAAGTTAAGCTTTTGTGGGAAGTTTCATTTTTTAAAAAGAGCACATTTGCAGAGTTTACTTTCGAGAAAAAACAATGTAATTCTTATCATTAAGATCTATGTATACAGAGGTATTTCGTGCATTTTTGTATAGTGCAACAATATCCATTGAAAGTAAAAAAATGTCGCATTTACGTATAATAATTTTATCTTATATTATATTTCATATACAGACATCAATGAACAAAACGCAAAAACACAGCAATGTCATGAACCAAGACCTATTAGTCGTAATGCCCTCCTACACTCTTATTTACTTTTCACTTAGGTCAAACTTATAGTAAATCTCGGCTGTAGTTGACCGATTCCGACATTTTTATGGCGTCAGCTTACATTTACTGGTGTGTCCCGTAAAATAGAACTTAACAGTGCTCCATTGACATCTTAATATACGAAGATGAATAGTAGCTCTATTTTTAATTTTCTCGCGATGGGGTGGAGAAGTCAAACGAATCATTTAAATGCTCATTATTGTATAGTATTGCATGATTTTTAAGGTTTTATATGCTTTGACTTGCGCCCATGTTTGTGACTCTTTTGAGCAACATTAGCCAAAAATCAACCCCTTTTTAAAAATAAATTTTATTTTATTTCAACCTTACTTCAACCCATTTAAATTCTTTTACCATTTATTCAATTCATACATCATTGAGATGTTTTTGTGCATTAAAAATTTTTGTTAATAAAGGTTACTTGAAATTTTTTTATGTCGAAAGTTGTCAAAGAGGACAATTGTCATCTTAAACTTGCACAAATGAATATTAAATAAATTCTGAGCTTATTAAAATCCAAGCAAAAATTGCCAAATTTGTTTTTACATGCCAGATTCAAAATTCTTTGGCAATCTATTTTCAGCAGTTGTGTTAAATCGATATTTTTCATAAGACTAATTTAATAATCGAACTATTTTATTTAGTGCTTTACAGTATCCATGCATTTTGTTTGCGATATATATTGCTAATTTTTCCATAAATTACATCGTTACTTACGTTTACAGCTTCTTGCACAAGAAATTTCACTTTTAAAGTTGTTTCTGTTTCCACCACAACCACCATATATAAATGGCAAACATTTTCCTTGGTTGACGTCATAGTAGAATCGCTTGATGTATGCTCTGCATCGTCCGGTCACTGGCTGCAGCAAACACTCTGTAAATAGAACATGAAAATTAGATATTTGAAAAGATTTCATATAGTTTTATAAAACAATTGAGTTCAATTTCTATCCGTTAAACTAAAGTTAAGAGTCATGAAATTTAGTGCACAACTAAATCCTCCTTTCTCTTACACAGCGAAAAAAGGTGCTATTGACATAACAAATGTCAGAAAATTTCTATGTGTTCTGAGACATGTATAACGGGGTTGTTCTTATACCTATGCATATAAACATCATGGACGTAAGAAAATACTATAAATCGAGGTAAACGCAACCTAAAATTCCATAAATTCATTATATGAGTTAAGTTTTAAGTCATATGAGTTTTATTTTCTAAATGAAAGTACGTACACCCAAAACCTTCCCTGCCATACTCCCAATTTAAAATTACTAATACTTCAATTAAATCAAAATTTAATAAAACACTAAAAATCAAGCAACACTCACTGCAAGGTCCTCTGAATTTTACAGTAATTCGTATCTTTTTTTTGCAAGCCGAGCTTCTCAGGTAACGAAGATTGGGATAAGTTACCAAATTACTGCCACATACCGGAGCAAAAATCAGGGGGCAAAACTTAGCACATTCTAATACTAATGCACAAGAATTGTGAATTCCAACAAAATAACTGAATTAAACATGAAAGAATCGAACAGCTTAGTTTAAAGTAAAATCACAAGAGAATTTGAACTGAATGTAATGTAATTTGTACATAACTGAGTTGTATGGATTGGCTAGAAAGAAGACTTTCAAGGTGGCGATTCTAACATTGAAAATACTTTATTGAAATAAACCTTGCAAAAATACTGTAGTCATTTGAGATTATGTAAATTTGCACAAAAAATATTTGTAAATTGTAAAGGACTGGAGAGTGAAATATGTTCATTTGATTTATGCCTTTCATTAAACTCTCCAAAACGTACTGTGAGCAAAATAAACCAAGCAATAAATAAACTACGGTAGGTGCACTAAACTGGTTAAATATAAGTATACTGCTCCTACTAAATTAAAATTTTTCTACCATACGCACGAACGAGAAATTATCGATATTGGTGATTGTCTGCAAAGCTTGCGTTTGTCTACTATCCTGAGCTTTTTGGTTATGACTATTTTCATGATATATTTGCAGAGTATTGTGAAGACTATGACTCCAACGATTCGCGAGTCAATTGCAATTTGCAAATACGCACGGACTGAATTAGTATAAGTACTTAATTTTCATTTTTGTTAACTTTCACATGCGCTCATTGTCTAAAGTTTCACTGCTTCCATCATTCCGCTTCCGTCAATCCGCCATTCCATTTCCGCGTTTTACTCTTACCCATCATGAAACAGCACTGTTTATTCTTAAAAGAATTTTTTAATTGTCTCTCTCACTACGAGCTCTTGTTATTTGACAAATATAAGTTTTAATACTGAATAAATAAAAGCCGAGAAATTTTTCCTAATAATTAAATCTGTGTAGATCACAATGAAAGCAACTTTTGACAAAAGCTAAAATTATTATAACGCTATCAATAAGTCCTACGGAAGTGCAATCACACAATAAGAAACAACAACCCTTTTTGAAATGATCAAAAACTCCCACATGTCAATGTTAGAAAATAAAATTATATACTTACTGTTGCAAAATGCATCAGCAGAAAGTGTCTATAAGTCGAATACATTCAAAGAAATTATTAAATGATATTAGACGAACAAATAAAAACTGAATGATAAATATCTTAATTATAACATGAGAATTTACTTTTATAGTTAAAAAACAATTGTAAAAAACATGTGGACTTAAACCTAATGGTGCATGCTATTACATTGAAAAATTT